AAATTCTGCTCAAGTTTTTTTATTGTTACCTGTGTTAACAAGATCGCCTTTAGAACTGGAACCGTAAGTGTTTTTTTCAGACGTCCATAATTTATTCAAAATAGAAAAATACTCTTTCTACTGAAGCATTTGTACCAGGTAGGCATAAAATATATTCGATTAAAAAAAATTATGTTGAAAATTGTTGACTTTGAATACTTCCATCCAACGAGTTACGTCACAATTTTGTGTCCCGGAGCTTTGTTTGGGGACAATGGGACAGGTGACCGAGAAAAGGGACAGTCCCGTTCAAAACGGGACGTATGGTCACTTTAGCTATAACCCGGCAACGGTTCCGTGGCGCAGTGGCTTAGCAATCAGTTGTTGCGCTGGGGGCCGCGGGTTCGAATCCCGCACGGAACAAGTATTTGTATGGCCTACAAATAATTGTTCCGGGTCTGGATGTTTGTCCTTGTGCAATTTATGTTTGTAAACTGCCTCCACGACACAAGAGAAAATTCTAGTGTGGGGTAACGTTTTTTTAAAATTGAAATTGAAAGATTGAACCCTTATACTTCTTGTTGATTTTTGTATTACCTTTATTAAAGTTACCCTTATGTATAAATAAATATAATTACGTATGTACAAATAAAATTGATTTTCATCCTCATCAATCATTGGGGTGAGGATAATGTCTGCCAGCATAAGGAATAAGCAGGCTAAGTTACAAGGTGCTCAGTTCAAAAATTAGTAGGTAGGTATGTTACTTTTCAATACGTGACACGTAAAAATTAACAATAATCAAAAACACATCTGCGAGACATACTATTTATTTATTTATTCTTTATTGTACCAAATATTTGTACAAAAGGCGAGCTGTCTATTTATTTACCTATAGTGAGTAGGTATCTTTTAAAATCACAATTTTCAATGCTTCATTTTTAATATATAATTAATTATAAAATTTCATAATTAGATAATATATGAGAATTTTCTACGTGGTAGAGCCATGCTGCAGCTATATTATGGTTGTAGCACGAATGGGTCGGCTCGACCGGGGATGGACCACGCTCTCACAGAAAACCAGCGTAAAATAGCAGCTTAACGCTGCTGTGTTTCGTATGGTGAGTGTAGAGAACCGGAGACCCTTTTTACTGGCAAAGAGGCATTCCATCTTAGTCCTCACGGGTGACAACGCATCTGCATCTTGAGTCTTTATTGAGGATAGATGTAGGTGTCTATGGGTCACAGTAACCACTTACCATCAGGTGGACTGTGTGCTCGTTTGTCACCCGATCCTATAAAAAAAAAAGAATACATAATTCTAATATAATGTAACTAATATACCGAATAAAAAAATTAAAATACATTTATCGTTGTACGCTGTGTGTATATGAGCGCCGAAGGCCATTCCACGGCGGCGGCGTGGCCTCAAAATTTCCTCGGCGGCGGCGGCGTCGCGGCGTGGTCATTAGATATTTTTTTTAAAAAGAAAAATTTCTTAAATAAACTTAAAGGAAACCATTTTGTTGTTACCAGACACAGCTATATATTTTTTAATAAAGCCCTGGGGAGCTCCAGTCCATAGATGGGAACAGTATACCATGTGAGGCCGGACCTGCGCCTTTTAAAGTGGCAGCCGGAGTGCCGGCATGAAATACTGACCCGCTCTGTTGAACGCGCCAATCTTTCTAGATTCCAATTTGGCCTTCTCTTCCAAGTGAACACGAAATCGCACATCACTCGATATGTGTTTTGTGCTTTGAAACTGAGGAAATGCTCCGATCTGCAAGAAAGCAGATCGGAGCAAGTCAACAGTGGTAGAGCCACGCGGCTGCTTTTGCTGTCGCACGGATGGGCCGGCTCGAACCGGGGTGGTACCACGACCTCACAGAAAACCAGCGTGAAGTAGAGGTTTACCTCTGCGTTTCGCTTGGTGAGTGCAGGTGGCCGGTGGCCCTTTTTACTGGAAATGAGGCATTCCATCTTAGTCCTCACGGGTGACAACGCATCTACATTTTGATTTGTAACAGAGGATAGATGTAGATGTCTATGTCAACCACTTACCATCAGGTGGACTGTGTGCTCGTTTGTCATCCTTATCCTATAAAAAAAAGCTGATGATCCAATTGTACAATTTCTCGGGAAGCCCATAGGAAGGGAGCTTCGAAAGAAGCGCTTTGTGCCAAACCCGATCGAAAGCCTTCGCAATATCCAAGCTAACGGCCAATGCCTCTCCCTTGGACTCTACTACCTCCTCCCATCTATAAGTCAAGTAAACCACAAGATCACCAATTGATCGATCCCAACGAAAACCGTATTGGCGGTCACTAATCAGCTGGTGGTCCACAAGGTACCGCATGAGCTGGCAGTTTATAATGGATTCCATTAGTTTGGGGAACAAGGATATGATGGCGATAGGCTTGTACTTAGACGGGTCTGCGTGGTCGCCTTTTTTAGGGATCGGGTGGACGAAAGCCGTCGTCCGTGAATTCGAGACTACGCCTAGGGAGTAGGAATACCGGAAAGGACGCGTTAGAACCGGTGTCAACTCTGGATCACACGTCATCACCTCAATTGGATGGATTTTCAGGCCTACTCGACTTGTGAATGTCCAGAGAGAGGAGTGCTTTTTGAACCGAGGGCTGTGTGAACTGCACATCCGGTATGGAGCACGTGTGCTCCATACGAGCGGTGTGCTCCCCCAGTCATCGTGAGTCGAGTTGGACGCAAAGAAAGAGCCTAGCAGATCGGCTTTCTCCTTTGCGGCATGGGCCAGTGAGTAGTCTGCCCTGTGCAGAGATGGAAGAGATGGCTGACAGAAGTTTCCTTAGACAACCTTGGCGAGAGACCAGAATGCACGGGTTCTCGAAGGAAGGCGAACTAGTTTCTCGACAATTCTGTTGTGTGCTCTGGACTTTGCCTTGGCAATGACTCTTTTGAAGGACCTGGCGGAGACATGATATCTACCTGGATGAGAGGTCAGCAGAAGGTCCAACAGGGAAGGCGCATGATCATCCACATCTGGAATCCTCGTAAGCGAAGTAACCAGTTGTGTCAGACCATATGCCAAGGCAAAAACATGAACAGATCTTCCCACATGATCAGTTAAACGTTAACCGAGCCATTTGGCGTGGTGGGCGTTACAATCACCGAGGATCACGACCTCTACGGATGGGATCTGCTGTAGCAAGGAATCTATAGCCATTTGGACGTGGTCGATGAATCGGTCTGTTTCGGCATTACCGCTATGGGACCTATAGAGGCAACCGTAGACGCGTGATGGTCGTCGCTCTCTACGCGTAGCCAAAGGCTGGCCAGGTCCGAACCTTCAAGACTGCCGACGCGTCGAGAACAGATGTCCTCTTTGATGTAAACGCAAACTCCAGCCCAAGGCACAAAGGGGTGATCCAATTTGTACCCTGGATAGGAGAGATACGAAGTATCAGCTAGAGAGGATGCCTGTGTTTCGGTCAGTAAGAGCAAGGCCTGCTTCGCCATCTCGAGATGGTAGTGGACAGCATTTAGGTTCGAGGGAAGTACCCTGATGTTGCAGAAATTTCCGGATAGGCCTTGTTGCTCAGCTTACCCCAAGCAGTTATTGTCTTGAGCGGAATTTCGCCAGATGAAATGCAGAAGCAGAACTTCCACTTCACGCCGGTATTCTGAGAGGTCCATTGTTAACACCACACAATAATACACGTTCACTCGGTGAATTGAGTGAGCGACAAGCGTAGCGAGGCGACAAGGCAAACTAATGTGGCCGGGTCGCGCATGTGAGTGGGAAAGGAAGTTGCGACTCGTCGCAACGGCGCGCCGCGTTTTTCACGCGGCGGCGACGCGCCGACATGAACTCACGGCGACGGCGGCGCGCCGGCGCGGCGCTCATATCTAGCTGTATTTCCATAAAATAGTTTTATTGATGTTGAAAAAATAATACTACGTTCGTACAATAGGTGGCATCTTACATATTTCTTACGCAATATATTGTAGCGAGTCGGCGCGCCGGCCGAATGCTCAAGGTCGTTCGCATGGAGTAGCCCCTTAACCGATTCGTTGCGGCACCGATTTTCGACAACTTTTAGCTGTGGCGGCGAAAAAATATTTCATGACACGCCTGGCGCCACAGAAGTTGATGACACGCCTATCGTGCCATCAGCCATGTGTAAAAATAATTTTCTTTTTTATGCTTTTTTCACTTGTTTAGACCTAAGTAATTAAATTTAGTTGACATCAAACATCAGTTACAAACGGAATGATACTTGTTTTTAGTGGGTAACTACATGTTTTCTTTGAAATTCAGAGTGACTTTTTTATGCAGAGATTACAAACATTTTGTTTTATAAAAAATATAGTACAAAAGTATTTTTTTTATAAAAAAAATAGTACAGCATTTTTTAAATTGTACCATGTATAATTTAAAAAAAATGTGGTCAAAAACGTAATTTGAGCGAGTTATAACGATTTTTAAAAAGACACGACTCGCGTATCATACGCCACACAAAAGTAATCGATGGCACGCCTGTCGTGCCATCCGCACTTAACCGGTTAAATAATGGTTTGAAGTGGAATTTGATATGTAAAATTGGTGCGATTTTGTGTATTAGGTGTCTGCTCATGTGAACTATTAGTGGAAACAGTGAAACAAGTGCTCTGATAGTGATGTGATTTTCAAGATAAGGTGTCTGTCTGCTTAGGCACCTTGAGATTCCATCGCCAAGTCGCCAACTGTCATCTGTCTGCTGGCTCAAGTTGCCGTCATAATCTCCCAAAGGTTGCACAATGTGACGCATCAACATATTATAAAGCTGTGTACTATGAAGGATAATTATACGTTTCAACTTCAGGCTCAGAAGAGCTAGAACCCAGAGCCGTAAAGCCAGTTATAAAAAAAACCTCTGTTTTTATTTTTGTGTTTGGCTCTTTTCTGTCAACGGGCTGTTCTGTTTGGTCCAAATCCAGTTAGAAATTTTAGAGGTTTCTTTTCTTCCTAAACTTTAAAGATAAGTTTTCATATCAGTATGGCTTCAGAAAAAGATCCTCTTGTAAGTGAACGTTCTGGAACAGTGAGGGAAGTTGGAAATCATGCTATTTGGAGTTTGTCTTCTTGTAAACCAGGTTTTTAAATTAATATTTAAATTACTTTTAAAAAAAATATTTACTATATTTTTGTTATTTATTGTTTCTTGTTACAGGATTTGGCATTGATCAATTGAGAGACGATTGCATGGATACTTATTGGCAATCTGATGGCCAGTTACCACATCTGGTAAACATACAATTTCAAAGAAAAACCATGGTCTCACATATTTACATTTACACAGATTACAAGTTGGATGAAAGTTACACTCCTAGTAGAATATCTATTCGAGCTGGAACACATTTTAATGATCTACAAGAAATAGAGGTTATTGAATTAATTGAACCTAGTGGTAAGTCACAACATCTTGATATTGTTAATTGTGGCAGGATGACACGAAGTTCTTTAACTTGTTATGGTTTAATAGAATGAAGTTGGAAACATTCAAATATGAGTTAGGATAGTATACAAACCTCGTATTTTATTTTTTTCAAAACCTTTTTTTTATATGGAGAAATGCCTACGCATACCGGCCTTGCGGGGGCAAGTACAGGTTATGTTGGACTCTCACTGAATACACCCCATGGTGTTCCACCTTCGCCACATATTGGTAGGGCAAGGGGTATTCTTTTGCACACATCTCCTTACTTGGGAAAAGACTTCTCCCCCACAACTCGCCTTCCTTCCTGGTCTCCAACCTTACCTGCGCTACGGAGCCCCTTCCCCTTTTGCCTGATACGAGGAGAACATGGGGCCACACTCGGAAGCTTTCTGGTCTGTGGTTACTGCCAACCAAGTTTAGGCCGCTGAGGGTAAGGAGAATGGCACTTCTTAATACTGACATTCTTTTCCCTCCGCAGCCACACCACTACTGCATCAGCCATACCAGAGTTATAAAGGATAGGGCGAGTCGTGCATCACAATGCCAACACACCTCTTCACCTGAGACTCCACCTCGGCTGCAGCAGTAGGGGGAAGATTCACCTCTCACCAACACACATCCCAAGTTGGCTCGCTAAACCCACCTTGTGCCGACCCTTCACCTCAGGCCAGCTATAGCTACAAAGCCATGACAAGGCAGGAACCAATTCGGGGGAGATATAATGAGAGCCTAGTGAAACTTGTATTTGTATAGTTAAATTGTCTGAGCACATAGTGTTAGTTGTTTTTTATGTTTATTGTTATGCCATGTAGTGGTGGCGTAAGAGGCGACTTAAGAATATGCCAGTTGCCAGTAAAATCTCATGGCTTCTGATAGGGATGGACGTCGAACAGTAATTTGTTTACTCAATTATGACAGCAATGATGTTTTGAAAACATTTTCTCTTTTGTAAAGAAAAAAAAAACCAATGTGTAAAGATTATCTACTACTAAAAAAAAAAATTTTGTTACAGGTTGGGAAATGATACCAATAAAAGATATTCATGACAGGCCCATCAGGACATACATGATTCAAATAGCTGTCCTAAGCAATCACCAGAATGGAAGAGATACCCATATGAGACAAATCAAAATTCACTCTCCTTGTGAGCCTACATCATTTGACCTTAACAAATTAAGAAACTTCTCTACAGTTCAATTTCAACAATATGCAACAATAAGATAAGAAACAAAATGGTTATTATATTACTTATTTTTATTTTTTTTAAATATAAAGTAATTTGTAGTACAAGTTTGTTAATTAATGTACAAATTTTAATCTGACTCTTCACTTTCTTCACTAGCTTCTTGTAGCCATTCAAAAAATTTTACTAAGGATGTTTGGTTCACTAGTAAACTTTCGTTGTCTTTTAAGTCATCATACCACTCCAATAATGAATCTTCATCAACAACGTCAAATTCATATAACAGATGTACAATTTGCCCTGCTTTACCATCTAGCCATTCACACTTTATGCAACTTTCCTGAAAGTAAGAAATTGTTAAAAACTTTTAGACATTGCCATATGTTTTAGATCAACAAGTAATAACTAATGTTTTTTGAGTCATTAAATTAATTTTAAGTGTTTCTAGAGTATTCAATGCATTGGTATGTTCTTTTATTTTGGTGTCGTACCTAGGAGGATAAATTTTCCACTGTAATCCCTGTAACAAACTAGACAGTTAAAAAAGTAATTATTAAAAAACTGACTGCTTAAAACAGTTAAATGAAAAGAGAAACATTTTATACTCTCATCTCATGTTACTTCCACCACTAACACGAAACTAACGACACCTCTTATATTAAAATCCATCAAGCCATTTAGATTATGGAGTCAAAGAAATAGACATACAATACATACTCTCCTCTTGGGGCGTTCGGGTAAAAACTGCTGAGTTTTAAAAAGCTTTATTAATATTTTTCATTTGCCCGGAGTATATGTAGAAACTACTACTTGCTTATGGAATAAAAATCCACCACATACCGAGTTGGTGGATTTCAAATAATTTGATTATTTTTTCCTCAGGCATGTACATAAGTTTTCCCATGAGATTTTCCTTTGCCGCTGAGCATGTGGTAAATCAGCACTTAAAATTTCAAGTGCTTAGATCCAAAGGAGGCAGTTTGGCTCCAAAAGAATTCAGTAATTCCCTGTTGTTGACATATTTTATCTCATAATTTTATATAGATTATTCATGTATTTATTAAAAATAAAATTATTTGTTTTACAAAATGATATTGCTACATAATGACTTTTCTTTTTTTTTCTTCTATTTGATTCTTCTACTCTCGCAATTTTTATTTTTTCATTTTTACTTAAATATTCTGCTGCTCCCGAAAGGTAAAACCGGAAGATTTATATTGTAAAATATGTGTATGTGTCAACATATATCCGACAATCCTATATTAAATCTTTTATTTCGAAACTAGTCCATATCACACTTCATAAATACACATCGAAATTAAAATATTAAATCTAAGTTACGATGTCAATTTTATATAAATAAGAAAAAATATTTCAATTAAATAAAATTATTACAATTACTTAAATTCATATAAAATACACAAACACAACAAAACAGATACACAGCTCTAACGTAATCTAGATTTTGGTTTAGATCCGGAGTGCTCGACATTCAGCCTAGTCCAGTGTCGCATTATAGGGCAATCCAGATCCATCCGCCAGGCGAACAGTTGCATGTAGCCATTTAAGCCGCTCCGTAGTATGCGGCACATCAGGGACGCGACTCGCTTCCGAATGATCGTTGCGTCTATATTTGCATCCACAAACATTCCAGATGCTACATTTTTCAACAGATTTGAAAGCATACAGGCAACTGAACAGACAGTACAGTTACAGTTTTGAACGGTGGTAGAGCCCCGCAGCAGTTTTTGCTGTTGCACGTATGGGCCGGCTCGAGCCGGGTTGGTACCACGACCTCACAGAATACCGGCGTGAAGTAGAGGCTCTGCTTCTGCGTTTCGTCTGGTGAACATGGTAGCGGAATTACACAGTAGACTACCCCAGGAGGGTACCAGTACCCCTGGAGAAACCCTCGCTGAGCATCCACGACCATGTTATTCCAATCCTGAGCGTGGGTTCTCAGGCTGCCCCGCGTATTCTGGGGGAGGGGGGGGGGGGGGGGGGGGGGCAAAATTCCGCTCAAAAACAAAACTGCTCGGGGCAAACTGAGCAACGATACCAAGGCGACCCCTGCCACGCTATCCGTGAATTTCTGCAACATCAGGGGACTTCACTCTAACCTAAACGCCGTCCACTACCATCTCGAGACGGCGAAGCCGGCCTTGCTCTTTCTGAACGAGACGCAGGTTTCCTCTCCGGCTGATATTTCGTATCTCTCCTGCCCGGGGTACAAATTGGAGCACTCCTTTGTGCCTCGGGCTGGAGTTTGCGTGTATGTCAGAGAGGACATCTGTTCCCGACGCCTCGGCAGTCTTGAAGGTTCGGACCTGTCCATCCTTTGGCTACGCGTAGACAGCGACGACCATCCGCGCGTCTACGGGTGCCTCTATAGGTCCCATAGCGGTAATGCCGAAACAGACCGACTCATCGACCACGTCCAAATGGCTACAGATTCCTTGCTACAACTGGTCCCATCCGCAGAGATCGTGATCCTTGGCGATTTTAACGCCCACCATGCCGAATGGCTCGGTTCACGTTTAACCGATCATGCGGGGAGATCTGTTTATGACTTTGCCTTGGCATATGGTCTGACACAACTGGTTACTTCGCCTACGCGGATTCCAGATGTGGAGGATCATACACCTTCCCTGTTGGACCTTCTGCTGACCTCTCATCCGGACGGATATCAGGTTTCCATCGATGCCCCTCTCGGCTCTTCGGACCATTGTCTGATCCGGAGTATGGTACCACTCACGCTCCCTTCGCGGTTGCGTTCTGCAGGTTGCCGCCGTGTTTGGCATTACAGGTCGGCGGATTGGGACGGAATGCGGTCTTTCTTTGCATCCTACCCATGGGGGCGGGTTTGCTTCTCGCCGGATGATCCCAGCGCTGTTGCTGACTCTGTCACTGATGTGGTGCTACAGGGAATGGAACTATTTAATCCATCATCTGTGGTACCCATCGGAGGCAGATCTCAGCCTTGGTTTGGTCGCTCCTGTAAGACTGCATTGCGCAGTAAGCAGGAGTGTTATCAAGCCTGGGCTGCGGCTTCGGCGACTCGGGATGTAAATACCAGCACACTTAAAAAGAAGTATAACTTCGCCTCCAGGTCCTTCAAAAGAGTTATTGCCAAGGCAAAGTCAGAGCACATAGGCAGAATTGGCGAGAAACTAGTTCGCCTTCCTTCGGGAACCCGTGCATTCTGGTCTCTCGCCAAGGCTGTCCAAGGGAATTTCTGTAAGCCATCACTACCATCTCTGCACAGGGAGGACGACTCACTGGCCCAAGACGCAAAAGACAAAGCCGACCTTTTAGGCTCCCTTTTTGCGTCCAACTCGACTCTTGATGACGGGGGGAAAATACCGCCGACCATCCCGCGGTGTGAGTGCTCCATGCCGGATGTGCTATTCTCACAGCGCTCAGTTCGCAAAGCACTTCTCTCCCTGGACATCCAGAAGTCGAGTGGGCCTGACGGAATCCCCCCAATTGTGCTGAGGACGTGTGCTCCGGAGTTGGCACCGGTCCTAACGCGTCTTTTCCGGTACTCCTACTCCCAAGGCGTAGTCCCGAATTCATGGAAGACAGCTTTTGTCCACCCAATCCCTAAAAAAGGCGACCGCTCAGACCCGTCCAACTATAGGCCTATCGCGATCACCTCCTTGTTCTCCAAAATAATGGAATCCATTATTAACTGCCAGCTCATCCGGTACCTTGAGGATCACCAGCTGATTAGTGACCGCCAATACGGTTTTCGTCGGGGTCGATCAGCTGGTGATCTTCTGGTCTACCTGACCCATAGATGGGCGGAGGCAGTAGAGTCCAAGAGGCGTTGGCCGTTAGTCTGGACATTGCGAAGGCCTTCGATCGGGTTTGGCACAAAGCGCTTCTTTCGAAGCTCCCTTCCTATGGGCTTCCCGAGAAATTGTGCAATTGGATCACCAGCTTCCTTGCAGATCGGAGCATCAAGGTCGTTGTAGACGGTGCATGTTCTGACTACAAGCCTATTAACGCTGGTGTTCCACAAGGCTGTGTGCTATCACCAACGCTGTTTCTTCTACATATCAATGATATGTTGCTAATTGGTAACATTCATTGCTATGCGGATGACAGCACTGGTGATGCTCTATACACCGGCCGGGCCAATATTTCTCGGGAAAACGTTGCCGAGTACCGGAACAAACTTGTGTCTGAAGTCGAGTCTTTGCTGGACAAAGTCTCGGATTGGGGGCGACTAAATCTAGTCCAGTTTAATCCTCAGAAGACACAAGTTTGCGCGTTTACCGCTAAAAAGAACCCCTTTGTCGTATCTCCTCAGTTTCAAGGCACTCTCCTTCTTGCCTCAGCCAGTATCGGTATCCTCGGAGTCGACATATCGAGTGACGTGCAGTTTCGTGATCACTTGGAAGAGAAGGCCAAATTGGCCTCTAAAAAGCTTGGCGTGCTCAGCAGAGCGGGACAGTATTTCATGCCGGCACACCACCCGCCTGCAACTTTACAAGGCGCAGGTTCGGCCTCACATGGAATACTGTTCCCATCTCTGGGCAGGGGCTCCCCAGTGCCAGCTCCTTCCACTTGACCGCATCCAGCGCAGAGCGGCTCGAATCGTCGACGACCGAGCCCTTTCCGATCGGCTCGATTCATTGGCACTGCGAAGAGATGTTGCATCTCTTTGCTTTTTCTTTCGCATCTACCATGGGGAGTGCTCTGAGGAATTGTTCGGATTAATCCCAGCCGCCAAATTTCATGAACGCACATCGCGGCAGAACTCCCGATACCATCCACACCATCTGGATGATTGGCGGTCCACCACTGTGCGATTTAGAAGATGTTTTCTTCCTCGCACGACTTCCTTGTGGAATCGATTACCATCAGCGATTTTTCCGGACCGATACGACTTAGGGACCTTCAAGAAAAGAGCCTACTCCTTTTTAAAAGGCCGGCAACGCATCTGCAATTCCCCTGGTGTTGCGGTTGTTCATGGGCGGCGGTAGTCACTTACCATCAGGTGAGCTGCATGCTCGTTTGCCCTCTCTCCTATAAAAAAAAAAAAGACCGATCTCCAAATGCATGCGGCGGGACTTGCGCAACTTCAATACAGCTTGTATTGAAGAAGCGATTGAGTGGAACCAAGGCTCCAAAGTCTTTGCCAGAGATCTGTCTGCCAGAAAGAGCCAACTGTCAAAGCTGAAAACCAAGTGTGGCAGCATCGTTTCCGGGACACCTGAGATTTTGAGTGAGATTGAGAGGTTCTATGGGCAGCTGTACACGTCATCGTTGGAGCCACACGCAAGTGTAAGTAACGATCAAAGAGCGAGTCTTATCCGACACTATTCCGAAGATATCCCGGGCGTCAGTCTGAGCGAGATTAGAATGGCTCTCCAGCCCCTTAAAAACGGCAAGTCCCTGGGCGAGGATGGATTACAAAGGAGCTTTTGAAAGCGGGTGGAAAACCGGTACTTGAAGTCCTTCAGAAGCTCTTTAATTCTGTCCTCCGTGGTGGCACTACTCCGGAGGCGTGCAGCAGAAGTGCGGTGGTCTTGTTCATCAAGAAAGGCGACAACGCTCTCTTGAAGAACTACAGACCGATTTCCCTTCTGAGCCGCGTCTACGTGATGTTTTCGAGAGTCATTACGAATCGTCTCTCACGCAGACTTGACTTCCAGCCTCCCGAACAAGCCGGTTTCCGAAAAGGCTTTAGTACCATGGACCACATATATACCCTGCGGCAGATTGTACAGAAGACAGAGGAGTATAATCTGCCACTTTGCCTTGCGTATGTGGACTATGAGAAAGCCTTGACTCCGTCGAAATTTGGGCGGTGCTGCAGTCCCTTCAGCGGTGCCAAGTTGATTGTCGGTATATCGAAGTGCTGAAGTGTTTGTACAGTAGAGCTACGATGGCTATCCGAGTACAGAATTAGAGTACGAAACCTATTCAACTGTAGAGAGGTGTAAGACAGGGTGACGTCATATCCCCGAAACTCTTCACCTCTGCATTGGAAGACGTTTTCAAGCTACTGGACTGGAAAGGATACGGTATTAACATCAATGGCGAGTACATCACTCACCTTCGACTTGCCGACGATATAGTCCTTATGGCAGAATCGCTGGAGGACCTAAGCACTATGCTCAATGACCTCAATAGTGTCTCCCAACGGATAGGTCTTAAGATGAACATGGACAAAACAAAATCATGTTTAACATCCATGTCACACCTATGCCGGTAGTTGTTGGGAGCACTAAGCTCCAAGTTGTTGACGAGTATGTTTACCTGGGACAAATAGTCCGACTAGGTAAGTCTAACTTCGACCGAGAGGTCAATCGACGGATTCAACTCGGCTGGGCAGCGTTCGGGAAACTACGACACATCTTCTCGGTAGATATACCTCAAAACCTGAAAACGAAATTGTACAACCAGTGCATGTTGCCAGTGATGACTTACGGATCTGAGACGTGGTCCTTCACTGCTGGCCGTATGAGGAAGCTCAAGGTCGCTCAGCGATCTATGGAGAGGGCTATGCTCGGGGTGTCTCTGCGTGATAAACTTAGAAATGAGGATATCCGCAGTAGAACCAGAGTAACCGACATAGCCCAACGGATTAGTAAGCTGATGTGGCAGTGGGCCGGCCATATAGCTCAAAGAACCGACAACCGATGGGAAAGAAAGGTTCTCAAGTGGCAGCCTCGTACCGGTAGGCGAAGTTTAGGACGACCCCCCACTAGATGGAGTGACGACCTGGTGAGACATGCAGGAAGTCGATGGATGCAGGTGGCTCAGGACCGTGCTTTGTGGCACTCCTTGGGGGAGGCCTATGTTCAGCAGTGGACTTGTGAAGGGCTGTAATGATGATGTTGATGATGATTTTTAACTTTATTACTAATTACCTACTAGAATTTATTTCAAATATTAAGAACTAACTTACTTCAACAGCTCTCAAACAATCCATTATTGATGACTTAGTCTTGATATAGTTGGACAAAATTGGACGGAAGAACTTTAGTATGTCTTTAACAGTAACAAGAACACTCTTACTGTCTATTAATATAGGCATGCTAAGCATAGCTCTTATTACAAAGAAATTTACTTCATGTAGTTGTATATTATATGCATATCGCGATGAGTTGATTTCCAAAATTAAGTAATCACATTTCAATTTTTCTTCATACCCTCTTGCCAGACTGTCTATAACTTCTTGTAAGAAAACTGTAAATTAAAAAATCGTATACATACTAATTATATTTGTAACTAATTAATCTTACGTTTTCTTTTAATTTAATATTATGTTACATTTTGCAACATATGGTAGAGGCAATTAATAACAAAACCTATGTTATGAATTGCCTCTTGCTTTTATTTCTTTTATATAAAAATGGTTTACGTTTACGCGAACACTACATATTGAATGAAACGAGTTTAACAGTTTTTAATGCGGTTTATTAACTTCAAATCAGGCGTTACTTTGAGGAAATCCATTACATTAAAGATGTTAAAATTAATTTGCTAAGATTCGCGTAGTAAAACAAAACGACAAAAAAGTCTTATGCGCAGCCACACGCACACACACAAACGGGACTGGATTCGCCAATTGACGAAATTATATTTTTTCACAATTTCAACTTGCCAAAAGGACCTTCCCAAAATTCGTCGCCAGCTCTTGGACTATCGATTTTTAACATCAAGCCTTACAATAAAATAGAAAACTTCATTAGCTTTATTTTATTTACCTATTGTATAATATCATAAAAAATTAAAAATTTTGTACAACCGACTTCAATATAAATTATTCAGAATAACTCAAAAGCTATTGGTCAGACCTTGATAAAATTCTACCAAAGGTCCTTGATATATGGGACGGCATGAGAAGCACCAGCTTTCAAACAAAAAAAGAATCATGAAAATCGGTTCATTCAGAAAAAAGTTAAGAGGTAACAAACATAAAAAAAATACAGTTGAGTACCGTCTCCTTTTTGAAGTCGGTAGAAAATTATAATCGTTTCGACCGGCCGGGGTAATAATATTCAGAGATTAATTCAATTTTTTTGTAATATGGGACTGCCCTTACTAGTTTTTTTGTTAATATTTAAATGTGGCATTTTTCTACATATAAGTTGCGAATTGCAGTACTTTTATATCTAATGAAAAAAAAAATTTTAGGTCATGTTGAGAAACACATTGGACAATTTTTTTTATCTTTATAAAGAAAATAATCAAGATCAACAGCTTGCAGTCGCCGACCGGTGCCCACCGAAACATCTTCGAGGTTGGATGCCTTGCTTTAGCACAAATTCTCTCGACGATTGCGGGGAGTGAGGTATCATACCCTTATACCATACTAAGAGCAGGCCTTAGTGCTCAGAAGTGACAACCCATTTATCTGTATCTTTCTTTAAAAGTGGGTTTCAGTAGTCCAAGGACTATTATTATATTATAGTACTATTATTATTATAGTAGCTATTTACCTACCATGAGGTGGACTGTAGCATTTATTATTTTAAATCGGAAAGAGCTACTCAGCAGCTGTTTTATGGCTGCAAGTACGAAAATGTCGACTCAACAGGTTCGCATGGTAGGACCACACTTACAGAATATCAGCTTAATGACACTTTTTTTTGGTAAAAAGACATTCCATTTTAATCTTTAGAGATGACAATGTATTTGCATTCTTGTCCTTAATCGAGGATAGATTTTAGTGTTTAAAGAGCAACAATATTCTCTTGACATCCCAAAGATTGTGTACTTGTTGGTCAGCCTTATTTGAATATTGTAAAAATAAAAAAAAATCTTACTATTGGTATCTTCCGGTATTGGTGACTCTGGCAAGGAAGATTGCACACTACTATCTGATGAGTAACAGGACTCACTATCACTCCATTCTTTATCAAATCCTATAAATTCATCACCTCCACTGCCTTCTGATTCATTTTCCCACTCTGTTCCACTTTCTGATGTTGATTTACCCAAAGATTTTTCTGTCAACAAATTTAGTCATTAGTATACTGCATGTGGCAGCGACACAAGATAATTTATTCTCCACATGAGATAGTCCTGTGAATAAAGCCAAAAACACCTTTTACTATATGATTTATGACAGTATACCATCATATTTATGACAAATAAAAATTACACACAAGACGGAATGCTCCAAGGTGTATGACTTCTGATACTGCAATCGCCAATCTGCCTGCCAAACGTGGCGATTATGGCAAATAACTTCTGCAATTGCAGAGACAGAGGCTGATAATGAAGGAAATATAGTGACATCAAATCTTACCATTGTTATCTATTTCTGAACATTCAATAACAGCTCCTTTTAATTTGCTCTTTGGTTTTATATTTACATTTGCTGTAATAATAGTACCATTTTCTAAAATTGAATCACTTTCTATAATGCATTTGTTATCAATAAAAGAATTGATAATTTTACAGTTTTCTTTAATTACAACATTGTCCATTATATGGCTACCGATCAAAGTAACATTATTTCCAATTTCACAGTTATTGCCAATCATAGTTTTGGAAACTGTTGTGTTATCACAGATTTGTGTATTTGCTCCTATTAATACATCTTCAATTAGTGTACAAGACCTAAAATTATAAAAACATCAGTGAACTAATTTACTAATATGCATGTCACAGCACACCAGCACAGTTATAATTAGCTCAGTAACTGAGAACTAGATATGCTGACATTCAATTGAATACCATAAGAAAGCTTGGCCAATCCTTTATGTTTAGCAAAAGCGCTGAGCAATGTTAAATTAAATTATTATAATAATTTTAATTATTATAATTTTATGGTACTTGTAGCTTCAGTATGTTTGAAACTAAAACTTAACATTTGAATAGAAATATTTCTTTTAGTTTATAGCCTATGATGGCTATAAACTAAAAGAAATATTTAGTACAGAACAAGGGTATGAAACTTATCCAACTGCAGAGTAAATGTATGTCACCCATTCAAAATGTAGGACTTGGTGACATTATATCCCCAAAACTCACCCATGACCATTTGTGCTGCAAAGTACTCGAAACGAACGAAATATAAGAATAAGTTTATAACGAAAAAAAAAAACCAGTTTCATTCAATGTGTAATGTACGGGAAATCATTACCCCCAAGTCTTTACACTGCATTGGAAGATTTTTCCAACCTACTGGACTGGAAAGGATACAGTAACAATATTAATGGTGACTGCATCACTCACCTTCGATTTGCCGACGATATAGTCTTTACGACAAAATCATCAGAGGACTTTAGCACTATGACCTTATCAATAGTGCTTCACAACAGATAGGTCTTAAAATGAACATGGATAAGGCAAAGGTCATGTTTAATGTACATATCAGAACTATCTTAGTAGTTGTCAAGAACATTACTACTAAACAATTTTTCCGACTAGATAAGTTCAACTTTGATTGAGAGGTCTATCTAGACTGGGCATCATTCGGGAGATAAAACACTTCCCATCACATATATCTCAAAAATTGTAAACAATAGTGGTAACCAGCGCATGTTGCCAGTAATGACAATTGAATCTGAGCAAACTTGTGTCTCCTCATACGGGCCATCAGTGAAGGACCTTATGATGACACCCAAGTTCGCTCAGCAAGCTACAGAGCACTATGCTCGAAATGTCTCTGCTTTAAATACTTCGTAATGAGGATATTTGTAATACTGACAACCGATGGGCAAGAAATGTTCTTGAGTGGCAACATTGTACTGGTAAGCAAGTGGTTCGATGTTAATAATTTGCATTTAAATGGCACTAAAACAAAATGTATGAAGTTCGTGACTCCAAATGTCAAACAATTAAATACTAATGTAATTTTAAATGGGGAGAAACTGAGTCTTGTAGATACCACCATTTTTCTTGGAATCACACTAGACGCGAAGCTTCAATGGAGCCCCCATATATCAAAACTAGCAAGCAGACTTAGTTCTGCAGCATATGCTGTAAAAAAGATTAGAAGTCTAACCAGTGTTGAAACAGCTAGACTAGTTTACTTCAGCTACTTCCATAGCATAATGTCGTATGGTATTTTGCTATGGGGACACGCAGCTGACACTGAAATTATATTTGTTTTGCAGAAGAGGGCCATAAGAGCAATTTATGATTTAAAGCCTAAAGAGTCGCTGCGACAAAAATTTAAGGAAATTAATATATTAACTTTGGCCTCTCAATACATTTATGAAAATTTAATGTACGTACACAAAAATAAAAGTAGTTTTATAAAAATAAGTGATATTCATTCTGTAAATACTAGGAACAGACACAAGCTAGTAGTACCAGTTACTCGACTCCATCGAGTCAGTAATTCATTCTTGGGGCGATGTATACGCTTTTACAACAAAATTCCAGAAAATATACAAAGTTTGGCCTGTTCAAAGTTCAAAAACTTTATTAAACTAAGTTTGTATAAAAAGGGTTATTATAATATTAAGGAATTTATGGATGATAATAACCCCTGGAAATGAGGTGATCGCTACCAAGCTATTTCTAATTTGTTGTGTTGTTAATTTGTGTAACATCATGATTGTAAGCTGTTATTTAAAAAAAAAAAGTCCCGCTGGGTTTCTTGCTGGTTCTTCCCAGGACAGAGGTTTTTTCCGAACCAGTGGTAATCAAACAAAAGAGTGACTTTCAATAAGTATTATTTATAATCTATATTGAATAAAAAAGTTTCTGTTTCTGTTTCATTTTTGTGATAAATTGGTAACAGATGAAGGAACTTGATTGATGCTGTTGGCTCAGAACCATTGTGGCAGCACTGTTTGGGGGAGGTCTATCTAAGTAATGATAATGATGATTATGACATGTAAAACAAATACTGGAGCACAGACACCCTACCAGTAGTAGGTACTCTTAGTATAAATTATTTGTCTTGTATTACATTAATGTATAACCCTTTTTATGTTCCAATAAAATAAAATAAAAAAATAAAAATTATAATGAAAAATTATTCAAGTTATTATATTACTAAAATGGAGTACCTATTTATCACGCAAAATAGTGTAGTGCAAAATAATCCTATAAGCCCATATTCAAAAATCTTTGTTAACCTTGCTATTTTATACATTTTTAGAATATGAACTTTTAAGAAAGCACACAATTTATTTAAAAAATTTCTGTCTCTTTAGTTCTCCCTAAAGTTAATTCTGAACAAAGTGCCAAAGTCAGCTAAATCAAGGAAATATGTTATTTATCAATGTGTTTCGATTTCTAATAAGTTAATGAACTGAATGAATGAATGAAAGAAAGAATGAAACCTAGTGTTACGTCAATAAGTCTATATCATAGTTTATGATAGAAAATCTTTTTTTAGGTTATTTTATTTTATTATTATTTTTATTTTATTTTTTACACATGGTAGAGCCATGCTGCAGCTATATTAGTAGTATAGTTGTAGCACGAATGGTTCGGCTCGACCGGGGAAGGACCACACACTCATAGAAAACCAGCGTAAAATAGCAGCTAAACACTGTTGTGTTTCATATGGTGAGTGTAGAGAACCGGAGACCCTTTTTGAAATGAGGCATTCCATCTTAGTCCTCACGGATGACGACACATCTGCATTTTGATTCTTCATTGAGGATAGATGTGGATGTCATGGGTCACAGCAACCACTTAATCAGGTGGACTGTGTGCTCGTTTGTCACCCTATCCTATAAAATAAAATAAAAAAATAAAATAAATGTTTTACATAAGAATTAAAATAATTTAAATGCTATAATTATATTAAAATAACCAAAAATATGCAACCATTCCACTGAAACAACTGTATAATAACTTCAAGTGTTCAACTAACTGTAATGTCTAGCCAATTGGCTGATTTAATGACAATGTTGTACAATGCTTAATATTGTGACAAAATTGTTTTATAAACTTACCTGCTTAATTTTGAACTTGTTTTACGAAAGTTGTGGTTACCCATGAAGACGTAATTATTCTGATAGAATGAACCAGTCTCAATAGATAATGGTAATGTCCAATAATGTAATATATCCCAGCTAAAATAATACAGATATTATACAAAATACGAATTAGCGACAAAAATACAATTTAAATGTTATATCTTTAAAACCTACCATACAATTTGATATGTCTTCCAATTAGTTATAGCAGCAGCATATTGTGTGTCTTTTAAAATTGTATAATATAAAGTACTAGCCAAAATTTCCTCATTTATTAATATTCCATTAACAAAATCATCTCTAGTTTGAAAATCAAAATTATCAGCAAAGAGAGGAGGCACTGAAGGTGAGCATAATGCAATGTTGGTATCCACCAAATTATGATGCAATTTCACTTCTGAATGGCTTAACACACAATCCTGAAAATCACCATCATCATACAAGTAAACCATATTTTATAAATTAATCAATGTCAAGGAAAAACTATATCTTACCAGTGGTAGCTGTAAGACATTGTCATTAGATTTTGTCTTATATTTCTCATGAATCAAAACCTTATTTGTTTTACCATCAGCTGCTAAAAATAAGGCTTTATCATTTTTGATTAAAGGATGTTCCCAAGATACTTTTTTATATATCAAAGTCATAGCAGCTTCTTTATCTTTTTTGCAAATTACCCTGAACAAAAAAAGTCAATTTTATTTCTCACAATGTACATAACTTTAGCTCCTATACTAGTCATGTGTCAATCATTCACTTTTAGTGATCCGATTAAGTATTGATTTATCATACGAACTGGTAATTCGGATTAATTGTTAAAATGGATCATTTTGAATAAAATACTCAGAGATCTGTAAAACCCTCTCAATTCTGTTGGTTGTCAATCATTACTATACTTTTGATTGATTGTCTACTTCACACCTTGATTTGTTGGATTTAATCAAGAAGAATAATTGTTACATTATTTATTTCATTATAAAACTACTTACTTGTGCTGCTCTAGTAATGCTGCAAAGTTTATGTTAGTTATGCTATTTACTCCCATTAATATAAAATATCCTCTGACCAGACCAGCAGCATCTATTTCTCTCATTACATCTCCCATGGTTTGACAAGTTTCTGACATAATCACTTGGACGTCCATAGTTAAACTCCATGGAACTTTCTCATTAGTACATTTTCTGTGATAAAAGAATATTATTTAACACATACAAATAATTGAAAAGCATAAAATGACTATACAAATTACTTACTTAATATATTCCTTTATTTTGGGTCCATCTTGACAGCAAAACAGAATCGTTTCACCAACTCCACCTAGTAATAATGATTCCAAAACATAGTCTATTAGTGGAACCCCAGCTACAGAAAATAAAGCCTAGAAAGAAGAAGTAATAATCGTTTAAGTGTAGACACATTAATTTATATGCTGCAAACAAAACTTATGGTAACAAAATATAAAACTGCTTACCAACTTACCATGGGTTTAGTTTTATTAATTGGTGAAAAATTATTATTAAAGTGATCCATAATGACCACAGCCTGGACAATATTTTCCTTGCTCGATTCCATCTTTTCTCACCACGATATTTTTTATAAATTGCTAACAATCGACATAAGTATGTTTAAATAATAATTTATAATAGGTTAGTTCACATTCACAGAATTATAAATTATTACACCTAACTTACTTTTAAAGGTTGTTGTAAAGGTAATGTTAGAAAAGGATAAATTGATACATTATGGTACGAGTATGAAAAAGTCACCGATATTTTTTGTCATATCGCCGTGTACATAACATATCTGAAGCATTCTGTCAAAATTTGACAGTTCAGACCAAAAAAGATCGTATTTTTTAATTACGATTTTTGGCTTGGCTGGCTTGTCGTTTAAGCCATGTCTTCATTTATCTCTGTATCATATGATAATAATCCTTTATAGTACACTGCTTCATAATATGTTGATGCGTCACATTATATGGTTTTTGGGAGATTTTGATGGCAACTTGAACCAGCAGACGGAGACCTTATCCTTATCTTGAGATTCTTATCACCATCAGTGCACTTGTTTCACCGTCTCCACTAATAGTTTACATGTGCAGACATTTAATACAAAAATCGCACCACTTTTACATATACAATCATAATCCGCTTCAAACAATATACTTGTTTGAGGTATAGTTGTTTGAGGATGTAAGTCTTTGAAGCGCTTCTGACCAGGCCAAATTGTTGACAAGATTGATGAAATGCGTCAACATAGCTTAAAAGATGTGACATGCTATCTGACACTAGGCACACCGTAAAAAATCTCTAAACAGAAACATAAACTTTTAAAAAGCTAGTATGCTTGGCATTTTTCTATTAGCTGTTTGATGACATGCATATGATCAATAGTTGAAAACCCCGTTCTGAAATTAGCTTGTTCTATAGGTTGTTGTTCTTCCAATATCCCTGTTATTCTGTTTGAAATAAATTTAGAAAACACTAAATATTCGGCATGTAGTTTTAAATTATTTCCTTTTTGGGCTTCCGTATCCGAAAGGAAACCAACGAGACCCTATTACTAAGATTCCTCTGACCGTCCGTCCGTCCGCCCGTCTCTCTGTCAGCGGACTGTATCTCATGATCCGTAATAGGTAGACAGTTGCAATTTTCATAGAATGTGTATTTCTATTGCCGCTGTAAACCACAAATAATAAATTTTAAAATAAATTAAAAATAAATTAATTTAAAATTAAAGGGGCTCCCATACTAGAAACGTGTATTACGATGGTACGGACCCCTTCATGCACGAGGCCGACTCTCACTTGGCCAGTTATTATACAATACTAGCGATCCGGCCCGCCTTCGCACTTGATTTCTGGATATCGACAACAGCGCCATCTGCATATCAATGATATGTTGCAAACCAGTAACATTCATTACTATGCAGACGACAGCACTGGTGATGCTTTTTATACACCGGCCGTGCCAATATTTCTCGGGAAAACGTCGCCGAGTACCGGAACAAACTTGTGTCTGAAGTCGAGACTTTATTGAAAAAAGTCTCAGACTGGGGCCGACTAAATCTAGTCCAGTTCAATTCCCAGAAGACACAAGTTTGCGCGTTTACCGCTAAAAAGAACCCGTTTGTCGTATCTCCTCAGTTTCAAGGCACTTCCCTTGTTGCCTCAGCCAGTATCGGAATCCTCAGTGTCGACATATCGAGTGACGTGCAGTTTCATGGTCACTTGGAAGAGAAGGCCAAATTGGCCTCTAAAAAGCTTGGCGTACTCAGCAGAACGGGACATTATTTCATGCCGGTACACCGCTTGCAACTTTACAAGGCGCAGGGTCGGCCTCACATGGAATACTGTTCTCATCTCTAGGTAGGGGCTCACAAGTGCCAGCTCCTTCCACTTGACCGCATCCAGCGCAGAGCGGTTCGAATCGTCGACGACAGAGTTCTTTCCGATCGGCTTGACTCACTGGCACTGCGTAGAGATGTTGCATCTCTTTGCATAATTTATCGCATATCTATCACGGGTAGTGCTCTAAAGAATTGTTTGGGCTAATTCCAGCCACTCATTTTCACCATCGCACATCGTGACAAAACTCGCGATACCATCCATACCATCTGGATGATTGGCGGTCCACCACTGTGCGATTCAAAAGAAGTTTTCTACCTCGCACAACTTCCTTGTGGAATCGATTACCACCAGCGATATTTCCGTACCAATACGACTTAGGGACCTCCAAGAAAAGAGCCTACTTCTTTTCAAAAGGCCGGCAACGCATCTGCAATTCCTCTGTTGTTGCAGTTGTTCATGGGCTGCGGTAGTCACTTACCATCAGGTGAGCCGCATGCTCGTTTGTCCCCTCTCCTATAGAAAAGAATAGAATAATTTTTTATTCAATATACATTACATGTGTAATTCTTATTGAAAGTAATTTTTTACTTTACTACTGGTTCGAAAAAAACCCTCTGTCCTGGGAAGAACCAGCAAGAAACCCAGCGGGACTTTTTTTAAAATAAATAAATTTTACAATATAAATGATTACAAACTGCTTGGAAGCGACCACCTCATTCCCAGGGGTTATTATCAACCAGGTATTCATTTATACTATAATAAACCTTTTTATACAGTTTCAGCTTAATAAAACATTTAAACTTGGTAATAGAGAGAGCCTGTACACTTTCCGGGATCTTGTTGTAATAGCGTATAAATTGCCCCAAGAATGAATTACTGACTCTGTGGAGTCGAGAAACTGGTATCACTAGCTTGTGTTTGTTCCTAGTGTTTACAGAATGTATATCACTTCTTTTACTAAAACTTCCTTTGTTTTTGTGAACATACATTAAATTTTCGTAAATATACTGAGAGGCCAAAGTTAATATATTTATTTCTTTAAATTTATCTCTAAGAGACTCTCGGTTTTAGATTGTAAATAGCTCTAATGGCCCCCTTCTGTAAAACAAAAATAGTTTCTGAATCAGCCGCATTTCCCCATACCAAAATCCCATAAGACATTATGCTATGGAAATAACTGAAATAAACTAATCTAGCTGTCTCGACACTAGTGAGACCTCTAATCTTTTTTACAGCATAGGCTGCAGTACTTAGTCTGCTTGCTAATTTGGATATATGGGGGCCCCACTGAAGCTTTGCGTCGAGAGTGATTCCAAGAAAAACAGTGGATACAATAGGGCTCAGTTCCTCCCCATTTAAAACACATTAGTATTCAGATATTTAACATTCGTTGTTGTAAATTTAACACAATTAGTTTTATCTCCGTTTAAATGTAGATTATTAACGTTAAACCAATGTACTAATTTTGATATAGCATTATTCACTTCGTCACATTTAAATGATTGACGTTTATGTCATGATTATCCACTACAAGGGAAGGTAAGTCATTAATATACACTAGAAACTGGAATGGGCCGAGATTCGAGCCCGGAGGAACACCAATTAGTACAGGTGACCCGGAAGAACTTTTACCATTGATAATAACCTTCTGCATTCTATTACTTAAGTATGAAATAATAAGTTTAAGCGATGCGTTCTTACAACCATAGTACTGTAGCTTCCTGATTAATGGCTCATGGTGAACACAGTCGAAGGCCTCGGAAAGGTCACAAAATATACCCAAAGCACCCTCTGAATTCTCCCATGCACAAAAAATAAGTTTAATAAGCTCAACTCCAGCGTCAGTTGTCGAGCGACCCGTTGTAAAACCGAATTGATTTTTTACTATGTTTCATTAAATCGGCAAACACACCAGATTCGACGCTTGTATTAAATATAGTGGCTAGATAAGGTGCTATTATAGATAAAATAACTTTAAAGGAAATCCCCCATAAGTTAGCCGTTTTTTAACATCAATAGTTTTAAAATGTTTAACGATATCTTTTGGCAATACTCTATGGAATTTAAAAGTATTTGAACAAGCCTTTACATTTTGTTTAAGCAATGATTCGGCGATAGTAGGAGAAGAATTTAATGAATTTGTTGTCAAAAAAGGAACATCAGTAAAATGTTTCTCAAAAGCTATAGCAACTTCTTGATCAGATATAAAAAAACCTACCGGGTCCAATTGTGAATCTAAACTATCCAGGGACTTTTTTGTTTTTAATAAACGTCACTCCCACATTAGGATTTTCTCCTGCATCGTGAAGGCAGCTTACAAACATAAATTGCACAAGGAAAAACATCTAGACCCGGAACAATTATTTGTAGGCCATACAAATATATTCAACGATTAATATTTACATTTCCAGTTTTTTCTAATAAAATCTGTGTTTCTTTGTACGAATAAGTACATATGTATGCATAAAATATCAAACAATACATATTTAAATTAAAATATATTAAAAATCTTTGTCATATAAAAATCTTACTTATCAATTTTTATTTCCAAGCCGATAATAATCATGAATTGCATTAGATAATTACTGAATAACAATCATTGATATTCGTGCATTTTGTAAAATGTTACACACACGTCATTTTGTCAATATCGTAAGTACGTACGTATTTTCACACATTGACTAATTTGTGCTTGTGAAATATTATAATAAATATTGATTATGATTATATCACATTTTTGCTTGTGCTGATTTTTTTTATTTAAAAAAAACGTTACCCCCACACTAGCATTTTCTCCTGTGTCGTGGAGGCAGTTTACAAACATAAATTGCACAAGGCAAACATCCAGACCCGGAACAATTATTTGTAGGCCATACAAATACTTGTTCCGTGCGGGATTCGAACCCGCAGAACCCAGCGCAGTACCTCATTGCTAAACCACTGCGCCACGGAGCCGTCCCAAGCAACTACAACAACAACAACTAAACAACTACAGGGACCCACTCAAATAGACACAAAAAATTTAATCAGAATTGGTCGAACCAGTTTAGCAAAACTAACGGACAGCAATTAATTTTTATATTTATAGAGATTATAAATAATACTTATTGAAAGTCACTCTTTTTTTTAATTTACCACAGGTTCAGAAAAAACCTTTGTCCTGGGAAGATCCAGCAAGAAACCCAGCAAGACTTAAAAAAAATTCAGCTTACAATCATATATGTTACACAATTAGCACTCTTCTGTAAAACAAATATAATTTCAGTGTCAGTCGCCATAACAAAATAGGTACCATACGACATTATGCTATGGAAATAGCTAAAGTAAACTAATCTAGTTGCTTCAACACTGATAAGATATTGCATCTTTTTTAGCATATGCTGCAGAACTAAGTCTGATTGCTAGTTTTGATATATGGGGGCCCATTGAAGCTTCGCGTCTAGTGTGATTCCAAGAAAAATGGTATTATCCACAAGACTCAGCTCCTCCCCATTTTAAATTACATTAGTATTTAGATGTTTGACATTTGAAGTTATGAATATCATACATTTAGTTTTAGTGCCAATTAAATCAATTTATTAATTTAGATACAGCATTATTTACTTTGTCATATTTTAGTAATTGTCGTTTTAATTTGAAAATTAATGAAGTATCATCAGCAAATAATACTATGTCATGGTTATGTCCTAGTATGTAAGGGTAAGTCATTAATATATACGTACAAGAAACAGAAAGGGGCCGCGGATTGAGCCTTGAGGCACGCCCATTTGGACTATCGACCCGGAAGAACTCTTACTATTAATGATACCAGTATGATCGTAGTGATCGAGTATATCGACGAAATTCTTTGTACCTATATCCAAAATTGTCGAAGAAACAGTAGAAAACCAACAAAGATAAATGAAAGAGTAAAAAAACCCAAAGAAATTAAGAATAAAAAGAACAAAAATAAAGGAATAAACAAAAAAAAAACAGGCAAGATTACGATTTAAAAATATCATGCGACGGTCGAGACTCGGCATCATCTGGAGAACTCGAACCGCCTATGCATGAAAAACCTGCTGATGATGTGAGTGTTTTTTGTGTCAGGTCTCATGGGGGGGGGGGGGGGGGCTAAACTAACCAAACCCGACCTAACTACTTAGTGATGTTGGGATTAGTGGTGAGTGACGGTGATATTGTACGCTATTGAGGGCGGGCGGGAAGTGCTCTTCAAACTAGGTAAGACACATAATTTTATTTCATTAAGGGGATACAGGCATAGAAATGTTTACTAACTTTAATATAATAGATTTCCGCAAACTAACGAATGATTCTATTAATTAACTTAGAAAGTACTGTTTATTGCATAATAATGTCGTATTGTTGTCGTTATTCAGATGGGTGTGAATGTATCATTGTATGGACAAAAAGATGAACCAACCAGAGTCAATTGAAGCAGAGAAAAAAAATTCGACATTTTAGGTAGTTTGTAGTTAAATCTACACTGCATATTATTTTTCATGCATTTTTATGAACATTTTACACGATGAATACCTATAATTTCGTATTGTACTATTCCAAATTACTTGCACTTTATCACAATTGGCATTTTCTATCAATTTGTTTTTGGTTGAGTTACTTATGTTATTAGCCGAAACTAAAAAAAGGAAGGAGGCGATTCATAATTAAAATGTATGACTTTTCTGTATGTATAAGACCCGATTTTGAATAGTCCTTTTTATTAAATAGATTATACTTTAGGGGTATTATACATAAAATTTGGAGAAAAAATGGTGAGGCAGTAGCCCGCGGGGCCCGCGTTCGTTCGCTTGTTGCTTACAGCAATGAACATTTCTGGCAAGCATTTAGTAATAGTTATACCATTTGGCATTAACGCTACTTCCATTTCGTAGAACTTGTCACCAGATACTATGTCAAAGTGAAAAAAAAACTAGCGATCAAAATGTTGCCTACACTTCTCGATCGCTTCACTTTAGTAGGCGTTGGTTCATTTTGAAACAGCAAAACTGTAGACTGGCACTTCGTTTCTGGATTGTATTGATTGATCGAAATAATGTCGTAAACACACCGAGATGAGCCGGCTTCAAAATATTATTGAAATAATTAGGTGCATGTCACGGCACTGCTTCTACTGCTTCTGAATACGTTAGCGTCGTGTGGCACACAACGCGAAACTATTCTCGCAATTCGCGAATAACTGCAGTAATAAAATATTTAAAGTGTTGGAATAGGCTTTTTCGTAGTTCAAGCGTAATTTAGCTACCGTATTCCGCTTACAGTGAAGTACTAAGGGGTCATTCAATTTCGTCGGAAGGAATATAAAATTTTGTCACTTTAAAACAGTCTGGATCAAAGATTTCTTGCAGTTTTCCGAATGTTGCCCAACTAAGTTAAATTTGCCTGTTGACCACCATCATTCATCATTACAGCCTTTCATAAGTCCACTGCTGAACATAGGCCTCACCCAAGGAATGCCACAAAGCACGGTCCTGAGCCACCTGCATCCATCAACTTCCTGCATGTCTTACCAGGTCGTCACTCCATCTCGTGGGGGTCGCTCTACACTTCGCCTACCGGTACGAAGCTGCCACTCAAGAACCTTTCTTTCCCATCGGTTGTCGGTTCTTCGAGCTATATGGCCGGCCCACTGCCACTTCAGCTTACTAATCCGTTGGGCTATGTCAGTTACTCTGCTTCTACTGCGGATATCCTCATTTCTAAGTTTATCACGCATAGAAACCCCGAGCATAGCCCTCTCCATAGCTCGCTTGAGCTTCTCATACGGCCAGCAGTGAAGGACCACGTCTCAGATCCGTAAGTCATCACTGGCAACACGTACTGGTTGTACAATTTCGTTTTAAGGTTTTGAGGTATGTCTGACGAGAAGATGTGTCGTAGTTTCCCGAACGCGCCCAGCCGAGTTGAATCCGCCGATTGACCTCTTGGTCGAAGTTGGACTTATCTAGTCGGACTATTTGTCCCAGGTAAATATGCTCGTCAACAACTTCGAGCTTAGTGCTCCCAACAACTACCGGCATAGGTGTGACAAGGACATTAAAAATGATCTTTCTTTTGTCCATGTTCATCTTAAGACCTATCCGTTGGGAGACACTATTGAGGTCATTGAGCATGGTGCTTAGGTCCTCCAGCGATTCTGCCATAAGGACTATATCGTCGGCAAATCGAAGGTGTTGTTATATTACCTTACCTTTTGAGGGTTGTGTTCCCAGTCATATCCACTCTTACACTGTATTATTGATGTACAAATCTAGTCACAGATTAGTAAGTATGTATTACATATTATGTAGTTTCACAGGATCTAGCTGTTGGGATCATGGCTTTGCTTAGTTAGCGTTAGAGATGCAATATGTCTTATTTACATTGTAAAATTTATTAACATTGACTAATATAATAAGAGAGAAAGTATTAGAAATCAAAAACATGCAGGTAACACCATTGTGTACCTCCACGTTGCTAAGGGAATATCGATTACCTATTTGTTTTACTTCGAAGTTTCGGAGTTTTACCAAAACTCGTTTCCTGTCTTTTCACTTATTAAAAGTAATTAAAATGGACTACGATTTAACAAGAGTTGATTATATTCTTTGTGGTATAACATATCCCGACACATTAAAAATTTTGCCTAATCCTGGTCACAAAACACAACAAAAGGTTAAGGTTAAAATAAGTGAAATTTATTGTTTTTTGTACATCTAATTAAAAGTTTTACTTTTTTTTGTAGTTTGCTGTTGGAGATAAAAATGGTGTCTTACAGTGTCTGTGTATTAAAGATGAGGAGCCCGTTGTCCAATTTAAAACTTTGCCAGGCAAATCAATAACTTCAGTACAAGTTGCATTAACAAACGGTAAAAGAATGTAAATTATTTTTATTATCAAGCAAACACATTTTGAACTTTCTTATATACCTACGGTATTATTCATTACAGGAAACCACATTGATAAGATTTTTGCAGCATCTGGCAATGAAGTCAAGGGTTACACAAGAAAGGGCAAAGTATTCTTGGCCATCGAAACTTCTGTATCAGAAACTATAACATCAATGTAAATATTAATTATTTTTACTAATAGACAATGACAAATTGATAGCATTACCATGTTATTGCGATTTCGGGCGAAGGTGTGACAGTTATAAAAAGATATTCTGTGGTGTGACACGTCTGATGCAAATTCGTCATATCCGGTTGTTGAATCCAAGAGGCAGATGTGCGTCCATCATTTTCTCATGAAAACCTGCGTGGCTGTATCACTACTCACCATTAGTAGTAGTCATGTACTTAGTATGGTTAAAAAGCCCTTGCTGGAATTACATACCTAGCGTTAGAAAAAGTTTCTTATACTTATCCTTTTTCACGACACAATCGACTTCTATTCTAAATTTCATTTCAGTCCGTTTAACAGTCTAACGTGATTGAAAGATAAACATACTTTCACATTTTTGATATAATCTAGTTCGATCTTTTTTTTATAGGATAGGGTGACAAACGAGCACACAGTCTACCTGATGGTAAGTGCTTGCTGTGACCCATAGACATCTATATCTATCCTCAATAAAGAATAAAAATGCAAATGCGTTGTCACCCGTGAGGACGAAGATGGAATGGCTCTTTTCCAGTGAAAAGGGTCTCCGGTTCTCTACACTCATCATACGAAACACAGCAGTGCTAAGCTGCTACTTTACGCTGGTATTCTGTGAGAGCGTGGTCCTTCCCCAGTCGAGCCGACCCATTCGTGCTACAACTATACTACTAATAATATAGCTGCAGCATGGCTCTACCACGTATAAAATTAATCTAGTCTTATTTAGGTCAAGATACAAATTCTTAAACGAACTTCAATAGTAAAGAACTCCATAACTGTAGAAATTTAAAAACTTATTTAGTAAAATAGTATTTGTTTGATTTTATATTACTTTTTATGGCTACAGGTGCATTTTGGGGAGCGATCTGGTACTTTGTAGCGGATGCACCGTTACGCATTACAGGGACTTGCGGGAAATTTACTCATACATTTGTGATGACCGAGTGCTAGACATTGCTGCTTTCTCTACTCCAAATGTTAGGATAAGTATCTAACTATTAATATTCTTTCATGTATATTTTACGTACGTATACGTTGAGAGATTGTTGAAATTAAAGCAAGAAGGAAAAACATTTTTTTTAAATTTTTTTTTAATTAGAAACAGTTGTAATAACTATATTTATAACATCTTCACAAAAACACTTTTTGAGAGAACTTTTGACCTCTTTGTTCAGTGGCTTGTCATTGATTTGCGGCGCTCATTGCGAAAATAAATAGTTTTATACGGTTTGACAATTTATTCGGGGCCTGCCGCAGAGCCTCTTTAATTTGGTCTATTTGTATGTATTGAATGCGTGTATTTATTCTGTATAAATTGTGTATTTGTAGAGTACGCGAGTACGTCTTCTTGTGCTAATTGCAAACAAAGGAGCTGTGATTATAGAAAACGGCGAGCTTCTAGCCCGTACTCAAATAAGTTCCGGACCATTGCGTCTCACCGTGCCGCCTACGCATCGCTCTACAGAAGTTTGTGTGTTCTATGGCGCAGCTAATGGTTCGATTGGTCTCATTCAGTATGAGTGAGTATCATGCCTAAAATAATATTGCAAATTTTGATACCGCAACAGAGAGGGTTGAAGACGGAGATTCTAAAGATAAGCACGTTGTTATAACTACAAAATTCGAATTACAGATACTAAGGTAATTAATAAGGGTATTAATATAAATATTAATCCAGTGCTAAGGTATTATGTAAATTATACACGATAATTTTTAAAGAGTAGCCAAATTTTAAACCCAAGTTCAAATCCATACAAATAATTAAAATTGAAGTGTCATTTGTAATGTCAAAATAACAGCGTTTTACTTAATGTATATCAAAGTATACATGGTACTTATAACAAACACAATTTTTAAAATTTTTGTCTGTATGTCTGTTTGTTCCGGCTAATCTCTGAAACGGCTGGACCTATTTCGACGGGACTTTCACTGGCAGATAGTTAATGTGATGAGGAGTAACTTAGGCTACCTATATTTTAGAAAAAGAATTAAGGTTCCGCGCAACATAAATAAAGCTTTAAATTATACGCGGCGAAGTCACGGGGAAAAGCTGGTATATAAATAATTAGTGACCCGCCACTTCGCCCGCGAGGAATTTGGATTTCATAGGTTTTAATTTTTCTGCGCGGAACCCTACCCTAGTCCTTTTCCTAAAATAAAAGTAGCCTAAATTACTCCTTATAACATCAGCTATCTAACAGTGAAAGTTCCAACCAAATCGGTTCACAGGATATTGCGTGATTCGTGTTCAGACAGACGTCGTGTTAGAGTTTATTATAGTAAGAAGATAGATAAGTGATACACCGTTATTGTAGTTTTTGAAACACGAGTAAATAAGGCTTCTAATTTTATTTGAAGCTATCTCAAATTGAATGTGATTTATTATATATACCCCATGTAGTGGCGGGTAAGAATACTCACTACCCCATATCTTCCCGTGGGTGTCGTAAAAGGCGACAGAGGGAAACTGAGGCAGAGGATGGGCAGCAGCATCTTTCTGATAAAAGCAAAATAACAATAAAAAAACTGCGGTTGCCAACCCGCTCGCCAAGCGTAGCAACTATGGCAATATACCCCCCATGTAATTAACGAAGAGACGGCCCCCAGTCCACGGCGGCCCCGCTATTCCTGGCTACAGTGGCGACCATGGTAATGGCGGGGCAGGGGGTGCTAAGAATCTCTGGTGGAGGTTCGGTTGCCACCTACGACGGCTCGACCTGGCAACTTATAACGCACGCACCCTGAGGACTGACGAGAAGATCCTAGAGGTGGAAGAAGAGATAGACAAGTTGCGCTGGAATGTCATAGGATTATCCGAAGTCCGAAGAGAGGGGGAGGACACGGTAATCCTCGAATCTGGCAATTTGTTCTATCACCGGGAGGGCGACCATCTGTCCCAAGGAGGTGTCGGATTTATCGTCCACAAGTCTCTCGTTAACAACGTTGTAAAGATTAGGAGTGTATCGACGGAGGTTGCGTACCTTATACTCAGAATCACCAAACGGTATTCGCTGAAGGTCATACAGGTTTACACACCAACCTCAGCACACCCCGATGAGGAGGTGGAGGAAATGTATAAGGATATCTCTAGAGCCATGCATTCCTCCAAAACCCACTATACGGTGTTAATGGGAGACTTCAATGCAAAACTAGGCACAAGAGAGAACGGTGAGCTGAAGGTAGGGAAATTTGGAATAGGGCAACGGAACCCAAGGGGCCAGCAGCTGGCCGACTTCATGGAGAAAGAGGGACTATTTACGATGAACTCTTTCTTCCAGAAGCGGCCCCACAGGAAGTGCACATGGTCGAGCCCCGACGGTCCACAAAAAATGAGATTGGCTTCATTATGACGACCAGACGACAACTGTTCAGTGATGTCTCCGTGATCGCGAGGGTGAAAACTGGTAGCGATCACCGAATGGTTAGATGCACACTGAACCTAAACGTTAAGTTGGATAGATCTCGTCTAATGAAGTCAATGCTCCGCCCCCCTCGTACTCTGTTCCAAAGTCCCGAAACCTTTCATCTCGAGTTACAAAACCGTTTTCAGTGCCTAGAAGGCTGCAATGAAGTGTATGATATGAATGACAAGCTCGTGGAAACTGTCCATGCGGTCGGAGGTAAGTTCTGCAAGACCCGCCGCAGAAGAACACAAAACTCTCCGATCACACTCTTAATCTCATGGCTGTTAGACGGGAGATGAAGCTACATTCTTCAACAGATTTGACAGCATACAGGCAACTGAACAGACAGATCTCCAAATGCATGGGCGGAACTTACGCAACTTCAATACAGCTTGTATTGAAGAAGCGATCGAGCGGAACCAAGGCTCCAAAGTCTTTGTCAGAGATCTGTCTGCCAGAAAGAGCCAACTGTCGAAGCTGAAGACTGAGTGTGGCAGCAACGTTTTCGGGGCACCTGAGATTTTGAGTGAGATTGAGAGGTTCTATGGGCAGCTTTACACGTCATCGTTGGAGCCACACGCAAGTGTGAGTAACGATCCAAGAGCGCGTCTTATCCGACACTATTCCGAAGATATCCCGGAAGTCAGTCTGAGCGAGATTAGAATGGTTCTCCAGCACCTTAAAAACGGCAAGGCCCCAGGCAAGGATAGCATCACAGCGGAGCTTCTGAAAGCGGGTGGAAAACTGGTACTTGAAGTCCTTCAGAAGCTCTTTAATTCCGTCCTCCATGGCGGCATTACACCGGAGGGGTGGAGCAGAAGTGCGATGGTCTTGTTCTTCAAGAAAGGTGACAACGCTCTCTTGAAGAACTACAGACTGATTTCCCTTCTGAGCCGCGTCTACGTGCTGTTTTCGCGAGTCATTACGAATCGTCTCGCGCGCAGACTTGACGACTTCCAGCCTCCGGAACAAGCCGGTTTCCGAAAAGGCTTTAGCACCATAGACCACATACATACCCTTCGGCAAATTGTACAGAAATCCGAAAAGTACAATTTGCCACTATGTCTGACGTATGTGGACTATGAGAAAGCCTTTGATTCCGTCGAAATTTGGGCGGTGCAGTGCTGCAGTCCCTTCAGCAGTGCCAAGTTGACTGTCGGTACATCGAAGTGCTGAAGTGTTTGTACAATAGAGCTACGATGGCTATCCGAGTACAGAACCAGAGTACGAAACCTATCCAATTGCAGAGAGGTGTAAGACAGGGTGACGTTATATCCCCGAAACTCTTCACCGATGCATTGGAAGACGTTTTCAAGTTTCTGGACTGGAAAGGATACGGTATTAATATCAATGGCGAGTACATCACTCACCTTCGATTTGCCGATGATATAGTCCTTATGGCAGAGTCGCTGGAGGACCTAAGCGCCATGCTCAATCACCTCAATAGTGTCTCCCAACGAATAGGTCTTAGGATGAACATGGATAAAACAAATATCATGTTTAATACCCATGTCACACCTATGCCGGTAGTTGTTGGGAGCACTAAGCTCGTAGTTGTTGACGAGTATGTTTACCTGGGACAAATAGTCCGACTAGGTAAGTCCAACTTCGACCGAGAGGTCAATCGACGGATTCAACTCGGCTGGGCAGCGTTCGGGAAACTACGACACATCTTCTCGTTGGACATACCTCAGAACCTGAAAACGAAATTGTACAACCAGTGCGTGTTGCCAGTGATGACTTACGGATCTGAGACGTGGTCCTTCACTGCTGGCCGTATGAGGAAGCTCAAGGTCGCTCAGCGAGCTATGGAGAGGACTATGCTCGGGGTTTCTCTGCGTGATAAACTTAGAAATAAGTATATCCGCAGTAGAACCAGAAGTGGCAGTGGGCCGGCCATATAGCTCGAAGAACCGACAACCGATGGGGAAGAAAGGTTCTTGAGTGGCAGCCTTGTACCGGTAGCCGAAGTGTATGGCGACCCCTCACGAGATGGAGTGACGACCTGGTAAGACATGCAGGAAGTCGATGGATGCAGGTGGCTCAGGACCGTGCTTTGTGGCATTCCTTGGGGGAGGCCTTTTTTCAGGAGTGTAATGATGATGATGATGAATCTTTTTATTGATACCATTTCCTTGAAGTCTCGTAAATCTTACTATGTTAATAATAGGTATTAGTATTATGCACATTTTTTTCATCCACATTGAATTTTAGTCACTTTCACAGAACTGAGTTATCAAGTAAATGCCTCGTGGAAGATCGAGGTCTGGGTTCAGTTGTTTGCGTCGGTTGGTACTTCAGTAATAATGGCGCCCATTTGGCAGTCGGCCGCCACGATGGCTCTGTACAGCTTTACCTTGTCGACTTGGAAAATATTACTGAGAAACCACGACTGAAGTACACCTATGTACGTACATAATTTAATATCTAATCAGCAACTAATCAAAGGAATATTAAAAAAAATCCACCTATGAGACAATCTACTGGGGAGGCCCATGTTCAGCAGTGGATAAATGATAATGATGACCATTTTTGAATAAACGAATCAGCGTAAATGAGTGTTTGATATCACCTTTAAATATTCAAATTTTGTAATACAATAAAAAAAATATTTTATTGATAAAGCTAGTTCCTTTTACTGCCACCGCCACGTCACTACAGTTTCTCTACATTTTGCTAAAAGATTCTACTTAACAGTAGACATTTATTGCCAAATTTATAATCACAATATGACAAGAGGCTCAAGCGTGTAAAACACAGGCCGCAAACTGTTTATTTCATATCCGCCGCATCGATACTTATGTTTTGTGACACATCCTGGGTATCAGCATGTTTCAGACTTGGAAAGACTATGTTGACAGGCAAAGATAAGTCTATACCCTCAGAGTTAGCGACCCTATCCCTTTCAACATGGAGGACTGCATATTTCCTAGCCTCTTTCTGATAGAATTGCCAAAATCACAAGTGATGTTTAGCATTTCATACATTGGGAGCGATTGGAGGCGAATAACTTTAGATCCATATAAAATATTATCCATATAAAAAAGGTTGGTCAATTTTGTCCCTCATTTCCGAAGCTAAAATGAGCCGGAATTCAAATACGGTTACGTGGTAGAGCCAGGCTACAGCTATTTTCCATCTTAGTCCTCAGGGATGACAACGCATCTGCATTTTGATTCTTCATCGAGGATTGATATAGCCACGACCACGCCACTTATATCTATAGGCCACAGTATCCACTTACCGTTAGGTGGACTGTATGCTCGCTTGTCACCTCTATTATATAAAAGAGGTACTGAAAGGATTAAGAGAGACGCAAAACCAGATTGGACTCAAACAATCACCCTGTAAGATACCGATCACCTAGATGACTAAGAATCGTACTCCACTGCACTGCACATACTCTGAGGAAGTATGTAACTGTACAGTCAACCTTGTATGGCTCGAGGACCGTCTTTAGCCATTTATGAGGCACAAGTCGAATGCCTTTCTGTAGTCTATACCTACAGGCGACAGAGAATTTCCGACGGTTGCCTTTCCAAGACCACCAACTATTATCACGACGATTATTATTATTATTATTATTATGTCATATATCCAGCGCACTTGTGATATAAATCGGCCAGGAGGATCTCGTCTCCCTTTTTTTTATAGTTTTGTGGTGAACCAGTTACATCGGTGTGCGGCGGCTGCGTGGGTTCGGACGAAAGTGAATTATTGGTATCTACATTCTCAGGCAGAATTTTCGCTCTACGCTCTCAGCGGCTGATATCTGGTAGTGTGTCCTTTAATAACATGACTCCTGATGCCCTTACTTCCAGAAGAAATAAGCTCGAGTAAGTTGTTAACTTTCTTTAACTTTTCGTGTAGAGGAAAGTAACAAGTTTGAGATAAATCCAAAATACTTTTAACAATATCTTTATAAATTAATTTTTATTATCATTTAGTACTTTCACATTTATAAAATAAGATAAATATTAATCAATAATTTAATAGTTATATTTTTTATATTATTCTAAGCCAGCGCTTAATTACAATCCCACCTGTGATGATGTAGCCTAAGATAATGAAGCTCACCGACTTAACAAAAGCCTATTCAATCTATCTAACTATATAACTACAGCCTAATCAAAACATTGTAATCGAATGGAAACACAGATGCTGGAAACTTATTCCACTCCTTTACTGTATGCATGATGAACGATGTAGCGAACCGTTTGGTTCGAATGCGTGGTAAGTAAACAACGAAGGGGTGGAGAGAGGCCGAACGTCTGGTTGTCTGATGTTGGAAAGGAGAGGGAGGAATTAAAATAAAATAGATTAGATTACAGAAAATAAATAAGAGTCGTAGAAACACAGGTGTAAGTTGTCGGTCTAAATTCAACCGTAGCGAGCAACAAATTGTTAATTGTAATTTTAAGTGCCATTTTACCACATTTTCTTAGGTGAAGGAATCATCCTAAGGAAGCCTAAATGTCTGAGAAATAAAAATATTTTAAAGACCAACACGAACTGGAGCAGCGGGGTGAACTAATTTCTTCATAACCCTCTCAGGAATAAGATGATGCCTGTGCTCTGTAGTGGGACTAGTATAATATAGGCTGAAACTTTGCTTATTGCTATTTTCACAGATTAGAAGTAGCACGCTTGGAAAAACAGACTGCTAATGAACGTGAAAAATATCAGCGTAATACGCGTTCCTTACAAGCGGGACTGTCTACACCACCGTTATTGGATATACAGTATGAGGTAATAGCCGCGGCTACGTTTCGATTTATACTATATATTATACTTTTCTGAAAAATGGTATAGTAAACTAAGTAGCTATTTTAAAATTTAAGAATCAATAGTGCCAGACACTATTTAACTGAAAACTAGGAGAGTTGTTTTTTTAAACTACTATAAAGTAGTAATATCGTATCGTATCGTATATTCAAATATCGTGCCCATTACAACAACTGCCACCAAATGGGAGTTAAAAAAACAAAGGAGAAGTTATAAAGACAGACGATGTTTTTTTTAATGACAAATTTTGTTTTACACTAAAGAAATGGTGGTCGATAATTTCAGAATTTGTTCTAATCAGAACGAGTTTCACTTTGAGGTTATTTAATTTTTCCCGCAGTTACTCTTGTCTCTACCAATTATCCTATATATAGGTAATAGCGAATTTTTTAAAGTTGCAAGCGATTTGCTGATGTTTAAGTGTTAAATATCAATTCAGTGAGATCCTGGGAGATTTCAAAGTTTAAATTTTTATCTATGTTTCTGCCTTGGACATTGTATATTGAATGGGTTCACATACTTGACCTACTTCGTGGTGACGGCGTAAGAGAATATCACTACATGTCATTCCGTGACTGAGGTGATGTATGCGAGCTCTGTCACGCTATCCGTGAATTTTTGCAACATCAGGGGACTTCATTCCAACGTTAACGCTGTCCACTACCATCTAGAGACGCAGCGAGCCGGTCTTGTTCTTTTTAACCGAAACTCAGGTGTCCTCTCCGGCTAATATCATATCTCTCCTACCCTGGGTACAAATTAGAACACTTCAATGTGCCCCGGGCTGGAGTTTGCGTATACGTCAGAGAGGACATCTATTTTCGACGCCTCGGCAGTCTTGAAGGTACGGATCTGTCCATCCTATGGCTGCGCGTAGACAACGACGACCATCCCCGCGTCTACGGGTGCCTCTATAGGTCCCATAGCGGTAATGCCGACACAGACCGACTCATCGACCACGTCCAAATGGCTGTAGATTCCTTGTTACAGCAGATCCAATCCGCAGAGATCATGATCCTTGGCGATTTTAATGCCCACTACGCCGAATGGCTCGCTTCACATTCAACCGATCATGCAGGGAAATCTGTTTATGACTTTTCTTTGGTATATGGTCTTACACAGCTGGTTACTTCGCCTACGCGAATTCCATTCGTGGAGGATCATCCACCTTCCCTGTTGGACATTCTGCTGACCACTCGTCCGAACGGATATCAGGTTTCCGTCAACGCTCCTTTAGGCTCGTCGGACCATTATTTTGCCGGAGTGTGGTGCCACTCACACTAATGTCGCGGTTTCATTCTACAGGCTGCCGACGTGTTTGGCACTATAGGTCAGCCGATTGGGACGGGATTCAGTCTTTTTTGCATCCTACCCCTGGGGGCGGGTTTGCTTTTCGCCGGAAGATCCGAGCGTTGTTGCCGATTCTGTTGCTGATGTGTTAAAGTATTATTTCAGGGCATGAAACTTTTTATTCCATCCTCTGTGGTGCCCATCGGAGGCAAATCGCAGCCATGGTTTGGTCGCTCCTGTAAAATACCATCACTCTGTAAGCAGGAGTGCTACCGAACCTGGGCTGACGCATCAACGTCTCGGTATGTAAATACCAGCGCTCTTAAAAATAAGTATAATTCCGCCTCCAGGTCATTCAAAAGAGTCATTGCCAAGACATGGTTTGAGCAAATCGGCAGAATCGGAGAGAAGCTAGTTCGCCTTCCTTCGGGAACCCGTGCATTCTCGTCTCTCGCCAAGGCTGTCCAAGGGAGCTTCTGTCAGCCATCTTTTCCATCTCTGCACAAAGACGACGACTCACTGGCCCATGCCGCAAAGGAGAAAGCCGATTTGTTAATCGCTCTCTTTGCGTCCAACTCGACTCTATATGATGGTGGGAACACACCGCCGACCATCCCGCGGTGTGAGTGCCCCATGCCGAATGTGCGGTTTACACAGCGCTCGGTTCGCAAAGCAATCTTCTCCCTGGACGTCAGCAAGTCGAGTGCGCCTGATGGAGTCCCTCCCATTGTGCGGAAGACGCATGCTCCGGAGTTGGCACCGGTTTTAACGCGTCTTTTTCGGTACTCCTAATTCCCAAGGTGGACTACTCCCGAATTCATGGAAGACAGCTTTGGTCCACCTGATTCCTAAAAAAGGCGACTGCTCAGACCCGTTCAACTACAGGCGTGTCGCCATCACCTCCTTGTTCTCCAAAATAATGGAGTCAATTATAAACTTCAAGCTCATGAGGTACATTGAGGACCACCAGCTGATTAGTGACCGCCAATACGGTTTTCGTAGGGGTCGATCAGCTGGTGATCTTCTGGTCTACCTGACTCATAGATGGGCGGGGGCAGTAGAGTCCAAGTGGGAGGCATTGGCCGTTAGTTTGGACATAGCGGTGGCCTTCGATCGGGTCTGGCACAAAGCGGTTCTTTCAAATCTCTCTTCATATGGACTTTGGAAATTGTGCAATTGAATCACCAGTTTCCTTGCTGATCGGAGCATCAAGGCCATAGTAGACGGCGCATGCTCTGATTAAAAGCCTACTCCTTATGTTGTATCTCCTCAGTTTCAAGACACTCCCCTTGCTGCCTCAGCTAGCATCGGAATCCTCGGCGTCGACATATCGAATATTGTGCAGTTTCGTGGTCACTTGGAAGGGAAGGCCAAATTGGCCTCAAAAAAGCTTTGCGTGTTCAGCCGAGCGAGACAGTATTTCATGCCGGCACATCACTTGCAACTTTACAAAGTGCAAGTTCAGCCTCACATGGAATAGTGCTCTCATCTCTGGTCCGGGGCACCCCAGTGCCAGCTCCTTCCACTTAACCGCATCCAGCGCAGAGTGGTTCGAATCATCAACGACCGAGTTCTTTCTGATCAGCTCGATACACTGGTGCTGCGTAGGGATGTTACATCCCTTTGCATTTTCTATCGAATCTACCACGGGGAGTACTCTAAGAAATTGTCCGGACTAATGCCAGCCGCCAACTTTCACGAACGCACATTGCGTCAAAATTCACGATACCATCTTCACCGTTTGGATGCTTGGCGGTCCACGACTGCGTTTTACTAGGTGTTTTCTTCCTCGTACAACTTCTCTGTGGAATTGCTTACCACCGGCGATTTTTCCGGACTGATACGACTTAGGGACCTTTAAGAAAAAAGCTTACACCTTTCTAAAAGGCCGGCAACGCATCTGCAATTCCCCTGGTGTTGCGGTTATTCATGAGCGCCGGTACTCACTTATCATCAGGTGAGCCGCATGATCGTTTGCCCCCTCTTCAAAAAAAATGTACCTCCAACAAATGACGGTAGGTATACATTTCGTTTACGCTAGACGTAACATACCCCGACCGGCGACGGTGGGCAGCGTCAAAGTCACGACAGGTCTTGTTAGAGTCGAAAGATGTGTCAATCGTGAATCATTCATTCGTTTGACCCAGGTCGCATTAAAGTATTAATTTTTGGAATGATTTTGACAATTATAATTTTTGAACGTTCCGGATCCAACGATTGACAAGACCTACGACCTAAGAGTATAGTAATGTCCGACGATCGACATTATCGAACGGGTCTCACAGGTTACAGAGTAAGTATTGAAACTCGATATGATCCATTTCAATGATCGACCTGAATGACCCGGTTCGTAAGACGAATCAATACTTCTATAAATGAATATAAAAATGAATCAACACTAGAAATGAATGAATGATACATGTTTACGTCTGGTACTACGAAAGTTAAATCGGCTGCCAAGTGAGGCGATTAAGGCCAATCCTCCCTACAGTGGGATATGTCCATGTTCAACAGAATTTTTACTGGCTCATGAACAAAAAGATTACCTGTCCTGTGTGAAAGATATGTACCGTAGTATATTGGTTAAAAGTATCTACTTGTTACGTATGTGTATATTTACCTTTATTTTATTTCTAACAAGTTAACAGAAGCGTTACTTAATGGCTGCCAAGAAGTGGTTATCACTGCAGGTGTTCCTTTGGACATGCTTTTTATTTACTGTAACAAGCAACTGAATGTGCAGACTGACAGCGCCGCTGTTTTAAGCATTTGCCCTCCACAGGTAAATTGCCTGTATTTTAAACGCTAAAATTATATACAGGGTTATTTTTCAAAGAGTAGCCAAATTTTAAACTTAAGTTAATAAAAAAAACTTAAACTTAAGTAAAGTAAATAATAATATACCGTTATTGCAGTTTTTGAAAATACGAGTAAATAAGGCTTCCATTTTATTTGAAATTATCCCAAATTGAATGTGATTTATGGGTGACATGGCTTTTGCCTACCGATCGACCTTTACGAATGTGTGCGTGCGCAGTAAAATCAGTTAAAACAACACATTACCACGCAAAATGAATTAAAGAGATAAAAATAACAGAAGGTTTTTTTTTCACCATTTGCCTATATTACTTATTCTGAACCTTTTCTGCAAATTTGGCCGGTTATTGGAAAATAACCCTGTATTTCAAAAGATATATAAACTTTACAAATACTAACTGTCAGTTAAACTCAGTTACGCAAAAGCCCCTCGAGAGGCGGGACCCCAGAGAGCTTTTTAACTGGAAACGAGGCATTTCATCTTAGTCCTCAGGAGTGACAGCGCATCAGCAGTTTGATTCGTAATCGAGGGTAGATGTAGATATCTATAGGCCACAGAATACACTTACCATGTAGTGGACTGTGTGCTCGTTTGTCACCCTTATTCTATAAAAAAATACTTACATAGATTCTAGATATGTTTTTTGTTAAAGTGTACCTTTTAATTTCTTATCCCGTGTGTATCATAAGAGGCGATAGAGGGAAATGAAACAGGTGATCTGTGTTTCGTCTGGTGAGTGTAGAGAACCGGAGACCCTTTTTACTGGGCAAGAGGCATTCTATCTTAGTCCTCAGGTGTGTCAACGCATCTGCACTTTGATTCGTAATCGAGGATAGATGTAGATGTCTATGGGCCACAGAATACACTTACCATAAAGTGGACTGTATGCTCGTTTGTCACCCTTATTCTATAAAAAGTACTTACATAGACTTTAGATATGTTTTTTGTTAAAGTGTATCTTTTGACTTCTCTTCGCGTATGTATCATAAGAGGCGACAGAGGGAAATGAAACAGGTGATCTGTGTTTCATATAATGAGTGTAGAGAAACGGAGACCCTTTTTACTGAAAAAGAGGCATTCCATATTAGTCCTCAGGGGTGACAACGCATTTGCATTTGGATTCGCAAAAGAGGATAGATGTAGATGTCTATGGGCCACGGAATACACTTAGCAAGAAGTGGACTGTGTGCTCGTTTGTCACTCTTATTCTATAAAAAATACTTACATAGATTCTAGATATTTTTTGTACCTTTTAATTTCTCATCCCGTGTGTTTCATAAGAGGCGACAGAGGGAAATCAAACAGCAGTTGGGCAGCAGTAGTTTTCTAATGACAGCACAAATATTAAAAAGACTACAGGTTCCAATACGGTTGGCGTGACAGTTATAGCAAATATCACACATAATGTGGTGGGTATACTATGAGGTCTGTGTTCAGCAGTGTATTTTTATAAGCTGTTAGATGAAAAAAATAATTTTTGGTTATAAGTAGTAATTTAATAATATGCTTTTATATAGGTACTCGTAACTGGATAAATTTGAAATTATAGAACTTTATTAGATTAATTAAAAAAAAAACGAAAAAAACTAAGTAATTTAGTTCTAAATAAAACTAATTTTATGGATTATATCGCGTTTAATTTTTAATTCTTGACGTAAACACCTGGCCGCCGAGCTTCAGCACGTTAAGCAGATTTTGCACGACAACAAGATTCGGGTCCCGCGCCTACGTCACAATGACCGAGTGAAACCGGCCACAGTCGAGCGTGTGTCAGACCGTAGGTATGTCAGAGGAGTCACAGACAAGATTGGTTACATCTTAAAACGAGCTTCTATTAGAACATTCTACAAGCCGCTGAAGAAGATTAGTTAGTTCTTTCCATCCGTCAAGTGTAATATCCCTCTACAAGATACAGGAGTGTACAAATTGATTGTGAATTTGATTTTTCTTATATAGGAAAAACGAAAATATAAAAACTATTGGTAAATCCAATTGTGCATGCCATAAGCGCATTAAAAAAATTACGTATAACATGATTATACGTTATTTTTTATAGTAGTTTAAATACACACAAGTTTTTAATAATAACCTTATAATTTACACTAATAACCTAATAATTTTTTGATATCTTTATGTCAAACTTCAATTAAAAAAAAGTTTGGAAAATCAGTGCACGTCTCACAATGCCCAATGATAGTGAAAAAAGATTGAAGAAAAATTGTAAATTTTAGTTCTATTCGTCAATGAGTTCCAGTACCAGACCAGTCAACGAAGTACGTAAGTGAGTCCATCAAGTCCGGACGTAAGGTCTATTCTATATATCCCTCTATAATTAACAAAACAAGGCTAAACTCAGCACATCCAGTTCTCCTCGTTAAGGACACTCTGTCGAGTACACTTGCAAGTCACTCTGTCAAGTCCGGAGGTAAGGTCTAATCATAACTAACAAAACGAGCCCAAACTCAGCACATCTAGTTCTACTCGTCGATGAGTTCCAGTAGCAGTTATCAAAGTACACTTTCAAGTCACTCTATTTTTTTTTTATAGAATAAGGGTGACAAACGAGCACGCAGTCCACCTGATGGTAAGTGGTTGCTGTGGCCCATACTCATCTACATCTATCTTCATTAGCAAATCAAAATGCAGATGCGTTGTCACCCGTGAGGACAAAGATGGAATGCCTCTTTTCCAGTAAAATGGGTCTCCAGTTCTCTACACTCACCATACGAAACACAGCAGCATAAAGCTGCTATTTTACGCTGGTATTCTGTGGGAGCGTGGTCCTTCCCCGGTCGAGCCGACCCATTCGTGTTACAACTATACTATTAATATAGCTGCAGCATGGTTCTACCACGTACAAAAGCCCGGAGGTAAAGTCTCATCATAACTAACAAAACGGTTCTAAACTCGGCACACCTAGTTCTCCTCGTCGAGGAGTTCCGATAGCAGTCTTCAAAGTACAATTTCAAGTCACTCTATCAAGTCCGGAGGTAAGGTCTCATCATAACTAACAAATCGTGCCCAATCTCGGCACATCTAGTTCTACTTGTCGAGGAGTTCCAGTAGCAGTCTTCAAAGTACACTTTCAACTCACTCTATCAAGTTCGGAGGTAAGGTCTCATCATAACTAACAAAACGAAGCCAAGCTCGGCACATCTAGTTCTCCTCGTCGAGAAGTTCCAATAGCAGATACCGACACACCTTCAGATAAAGTCCAAGACATATAAGTATATTTTATATATAAATCCTGCGTGCTTTTAGCGAAACAAAATATGGTAAGAAAATCTGTGACTATAAAAATAATAATAATATCCTTACCTTTGTCAAGTATTAAATTTGGTTTTTGGAATATTTTGTATTTCTACGGCGATCGATATTTTTCTGCACGAGCCGCGTAATAAACGACCACTCACGACGGCATTTGAGGCCGGAGCAAAGAGTAGTAACTGTCCTATACAGGAAGGCCGGAGTAAATAAAGTACTCTGTGGCTGTTGCTCGGAGTGCGACTTCGGCCTATTTAGTACAATAAATTAATACAAGGCTGCTAAAACCACCGAAAATTTCGCCATTTTAGAGCCGAAGAAAATTTATTATAACTAAACATAATAATTTATATGTTTAGTTATAATTAAATTTGAAGAGATTAAAAAATAGATTGAGTTGAACAATTGATTTTTTCAAAAGTTATCGTGTTTACGAAGCCTTGCGGACTTAATAAATCCACACCATAAGCCACTAAAACCACTTTATTATGTAAAAATAGCAATTAATCGATTTAAAAAAAATATTAATAAGTTCAACAATCATTTATCTTCCTGACAATGTGCTTTTTATATCATTTATATGTATAATATGATTGCTAGATAAGATTTTATGCGACAAAACGTTGGAATCTAAATTTTTAAAAATCTAAAAATCAAAACTAAACTCAAACAAGACTTCAAGACACAGTAAGCTCATTCTGCATAGATTTTTTTAAATACAAATAGGGTGATAAACGAGCACACAGTCCACCTGATAGTAAGTGAATGCTGCGGCCCATAGACATCTACATTTATAATAAAATGCGTTAAAATGTGTTGTCACCCCTGAGGATTGAGATGGAATGCCTCGTTTCCAGTAAAAAGGGTCTTCGGTTCTCTACACTTACCATATGAAACACAGCAGCATTAAACTGCTATTTTACGTTAGTATTCTATGAGAGCGTGGTACTATCTCGGTCAAGCCGACCATTCGCTGTACAATCAAAATATACATAGCTGCAGTGTGGCTCTAGCAGGTAAGAAATTCGACAAAACACGACAAAAATGGCTCTACAAAGTAAAACAGATCAGACCAAAAGTAATAATTAAAAAGCTGAAGGTTTTTTGATAGGTGTGGTTATGGTAGGAACTTTGACATCGGGACGTCAATCACCTCAGTCCCCCCGGGGTCGCGGGTGCTTTGCAGCAAACCTTAAAAACGTCGAGAATTAAAAATAAGTAAAATCAAACGCGATATAATCAGTAAAAATAGTTTTATTCAACGTGTAGTATTTGCGTTAGTATAAAAAAAAAAAAACATTACTTTAGTTTTGTTTATTCCAGTGACTTCTGAGAAAAAATACACATAAAAATAAATGATAAGAAATAATTAAAAAAATATGAGAATTTTGTGTTAATAGCACAAAATGAATTCCAATTATTTATCCAGACCTTCCATTAATTAGCCTAGAAAAGTCCACATTTGGATGTAAAGCCTCTCCCATAATCTTATTTTAAACAGGCGAGTTGATGACTACAAAACCGGTAAATTATAATTTACCTACTTATTATACCTTTGCTTACAATGTATTTAAAACATTATTAGCAATACCACAGATTAAATAATGTTACTACGTAAGCAATACCAATACGTGTATTTTATTCAACAGGGTCAAACAACAGAAATGCTCGCTACGGTGAGATGTCAAGCTGGTACAAGGCGTATTTGGTTGCAAATGTGTAGCAGACCAGGCTGCTCAGCAATGGAAATGGCTGAATCTACACAAGTATTAATTTACGTACTACCAGCGAGCGCACCGAGAGTCGCCCGCCTTATAAAAATCATACTGCCGGCTTTGCCGCAATATTCCCAATACGAAGACCTAGTTAGTGACAATAACAGGTTAAATAATAATTAACAAGCAGTATCCAGTAAAATTAAATTAACTCCAGATGGAGATGGAACTCGAATTGCTTGTGTAAAATTAGCATTGACAAACCAATCATAAATTAAAATAATTAATATGATTTGCAGAGTGTGGTGCGAATTGCGAGTGTCTGGTGGATTCTCTGTGGCAGAAATGACTTCGTGGTTAAGCGAGGCATTGCCAGGCGACTTGCCGAGGCCAGCTGCCAACATTTCATTCGCCCGGTTGCATTCCTTTCTGAAGACGGTCCTACTGTGTCAATATGAGTAAGAAAAATGCAGGCAATTTAACTTTTTGTGACTGTTTTAACTATTGTTAAGCGTTTTTCTTAATAGAATAAGGGTAACAAACGAGGACACAGCCTACCTGGTGGTAAGTGGTGAATGCTGTGACCCATAGACATCTACATCTTTCCTAGATTAAGAATGAAAATGCAGATTCGTTACCACCCCTGAGAACTAAGATGGAATGCCTCGTTTCCAGTAAAAAGGGTCTCCGGTTCTGACAATCACCATACGAAACATAGCAGCGTTAAGCTGCTATTTTACGCTGGTATTCTGTGAGAGCGTGGTCCTTCCCCGGTCGAGCCGAACTATTCGTGCTCATTCGTAGCTTTTGGGTCAGAATTGCATTTAGCATTCGCAAAAACAACAAATGTTAATAATTGAATTCTGGTTGTTTTGAAGTTCAACATTTCTTTTGATAAATAATGATTTCTTATATTTATGCGAGTACTACACATTAAATAAAACTAATTTGACGGTTTTTATGGCGTTCAATTTTAACTTTTTTTAACACCTTTGTCCTTTTGCTAGGGGTGTGGCCTAATGTACTGTCAGAGGAGTCACAAACAAAATTAGCTAAGTCTTGAAGCGGGCTTCCATAAGAACATACTACAAGCCGCCAAAGAAATTTAGTCAAGTGTAATTTCCCTCTACATTGTAGAATCTACAAGTTGCAGGAGTGTGCAAGATTGATTTTGAATGTGGTCTCTTTTACATAGTTTGTAGACGATTGCTATTAAAAATTACCGAGATATTTTTAATATTTTTATCACGAACGAGTCAAAGTCCAATGGTAAGTGGATTGTACCAACTTACCGTTGAACGTTGAACTCCATGGTGCAGGGGTATAAATATAGAAGAATTGCTATATTAAAGGGCTTGTAACCTTGCCTCTACCTAAAAAGTTAATAAGTACCTAACTAAGGAGCTACTACCTTTTGAGCATATTTTCAGGCGTGGATCAGCCGTGTTTAAGTCCGATAACATTACAACAATAGCAATCCTTAAAGACGTTTTATCCAACTGTTCTATGAAGAGAGGTATACGTGTTGATATGTCATGTGGTAAGTCCTTTTTATAATACCATTATCGTTAACGTTACATCATATCAAGAGTCTACTGCTGAACATAGGCCTCCCCCATAGATTGTCACTTAAGGGGGACATTTGCCATAGATGCCACATTTGGCAGGTTGGACGTTGCTGCCCATCTTCTGGTTTGCTTCCCCTGTCGCATCTTACGACACCCACGGGACGATATGGGGTAGTAGATATTCTTATACCTCCACTACCCGGTTCCTTTTTATAATATTTTGTATTACAAATAAATTTTTATAGTTTTACATAAATGTAGTATTTATAACAAGTATTTTTCAATGAATTTTTTGAGGTTTTATGGTTTTTGAAAGCTTTTACAATAACATACATTTAACATACATTTTGTACGCGGCGTATGTGCCCATATAAATGTACTCTGTGGCATGTGACCCGTTCCAGTATTATTTTATTAATACTTATACTACGCAGCCTCGCACCACATGAGGCTTTCAACAAAAAGGACGTGAACAATGCGATGATATGTGATCACTTCAGTTAACGTAAACGTCAATATAGTTTTATTTTTCAAATCAGAGTTTCTTTGAGCGAAAACGAGAGATTTCTTTAAGATCTTTGATAGAAACTTGTTTTGAAATTTTAATAGCAAATAACAGGTTTTAATGTTTTTATATCTTACACAGATATTCCACAAGTTAGTTGTTCTATGTTATTTAAATATTTGAAGAGTGACTTTGTAACGGAATATCAAAGAAGTAAAGATCGCGTTTTGAAGAAAGCCATTGGGTAAGTACAACTATAGAAAATAAGTAATAACCCGCAATAGATTACCAAACGAATTCGCAAATCTTTTCTATATATTCGCGACAAATTCAGAACACAATCGAACCCTCGAGATATATTGTAAGGCCACCTGGATACACCAACACTAATGATGCAATGGAAGTATCCTAACGGAAACGGAAACAAAATGATTTCTTATATTTACGCGAACACTACACATTTTTAAATAAAACTAATTTTACGGATTTTATCGCGTATATTAACTTATTTTTATATTCCCGACGTTTCGGGTGCTTTCCAGCACCCGTGGTCACGGGGGACTGAGTTGTTTGACGTCCTGCTGTCATAGTTAGCCCGGCTACCTTCAGTTTTTTAATATTAATTTTTGGTTCGATTTACGCAGAATGAGCTTACAGTATCTTGAAGTCTAGCAGTGGTATACTTGGGTTTGGATTTGATTTTATTAATTATGGGATCCCAAGCAGATGGCAGCACCCATCCATCTTCTCTATTGAAATTAGGATGTTTTTTAATTTCAATAGCCTCGCGAATCATCCTTGGGAGGAATCGGTGTTCTTTTGCGAGGATTTGTGGTCTATCAAATCTAATGTAATGATGGGGACGATCCTGAACATGTTCACAAACTGCAGACTTCCCGATACGTCGGTGCTTCACGTCAGCTATATGTTCTTTAACGCGGGTTTTAATAGATCTTTTTGTTTGTCCTATGTACGAGAGACCACATTCACAATCCAGCTTGTACACTCCTGCATCTTGTAGAGGGATATGACACTTGACGGATGGTAAAAATTGACCAATCTTCTTCAGCGGCTTGAAGTACGTTTTAATGGAAGCTCGCTTCAAGATGTAGCCAACCTTGTCTGTGACTCCTCTGACATAGGGTAGTACAGCAGGCACACGCTCAACTGTGGCTGGCTTCACTCGGTCACTGTGACGTAGGCGTGGGACCCGAAGCTTGTTGTCTTGCAGTACTTGCTCGACGTGCTGAAGCTCGGCGGCCAGATGTTTTCTGTCACAGATCCCTCGTGCTCTCTGAAACAAAGATTTTCCCACGGTAGCTAACTGTGAAGGATGATGGTGAGATTCACCATTTAAATATCGGTTGGTATGGGTATTTTTTCTGTACACAGTATGACCAATAGTGTTATCAGGATTTCGGATGACTAAAACATCTAGAAAAGCTAAAGTATTGTTTGCCTCTAACTCCATTGTGAATTGTATTTTAGGGTTTATGGAATCCATATCCGAATCCACAGTTAGCTACCGTGGGAAAATCTTTGTTTCAGAGAGCACGAGGGATCTGTGACAGAAAACATCTGGCAGCCGAGCTTCAGCACGTCGAGCAAGTACTGCAAGACAACAAGCTTCGGGTCCCGCGCCTACGTCACAGTGACCGAGTGAAGCCAGCCACAGTCGAGCGTGTGCCTGCTGTACTACCCTATGTCAGAGGAGTCACAGACAAGGTTGGCTACATCTTGAAGCGAGCTTCCATTAAAACGTACTTCAAGCCGCTGAAGAAGATTGGTCAATTTTTACCATCCGTCAAGTGTCATATCCCTCTACAAGATGCAGGAGTGTACAAGCTGGATTGTGAATGTGGTCTCTCGTACATAGGACAAACAAAAAGATCTATTAAAACCCGCGTTAAAGAACATATAGCTGACGTGAAGCACCGACGTATCGGGAAGTCTGCAGTTTGTGAACATGTTCAGGATCGTCCCCGTCATTACATTAGATTTGATAGACCACAAATCCTCGCAAAAGAACACCGATTCCTCCCAAGGATGATTCGCGAGGCTATTGAAATTAAAAAACATCCTAATTTCAATAGAGAAGATGGATGGGTGCTGCCATCTGCTTGGGATCCCATAATTAATAAAATCAAATCCAAACCCAAGTATACCACTGCTAGACTTCAAGATACTGTAAGCTCATTCTGCGTAAATCGAACCAAAAATTAATATTAAAAAACTGAAGGTAGCCGGGCTAACTATGACAGCAGGACGTCAAACAACTCAGTCCCCCGTGACCACGGGTGCTGGAAAGCACCCGAAACGTCGGGAATATAAAAATAAGTTAATATACGCGATAAAATCCGTAAAATTAGTTTTATTTAAAAACGGAAACAAAAGTCAAAAGTAAATTTTATCAGAAATAGAAACAGAAACGGATGCGAAAGTGGAAGTGTAAATATTATGAAAAAAGTACAATTTTTAACAAATATATTTTTTTTAAATTAATATTCAAAATGAAGTAGTGTTACTTATTATATTTTATGAAAAGTAATTTGGCTGCTTTTACACCTAGCAATCTGTTCCGGTGTTCTTGATATATTAGACCAGCTCTACAAATAATTGCTCACTGGTGACGCTGCTTGGAGGAGCTGATAAATATTGCCGCACTAATGGCGAAAGATAACGATGTTTGTGTGCATTTTATTTCTACCACACATGTAGTCCTGAATTTGTAACTGTGCTCCCAAAAGTAGATTATCACTCTCGTTATTTGTAGTCAAGTCTCGCTTGTGTTCATTCATACTTAACATGGCTTCTAATATTTGTAATGATGAATTCATCATTAATGATGACGTAGGTTGAACTTCATTTTCAATTTGAGTTCGGCACCTTTTGGGGGAAGGTATGCCGTCATCAAAGTTCCATTATATATTCCGAATTTCCGTTATAAAAGTTGCAGAAACAGAAGGAGAAACGGATATCAAAATCGTGCGGTACTTCCGCAGTTGTGGAAGCAGATGCAAAAGTCTGGTGCATCACCAACTAACACAAAAGCACTTTCGTTAATTGCTCGATGTATGCTTTTGATACGAGATCGGAGAATTCAATGATAACGAAACTTTGTAACGTAATCGGATATGAAAAACAATAATTTATACTTTTGTTAAATTTTGTTAGTTAGAGCTATATTTCGAACTATATATCGAGGTATTCTTGAGCTAAGCATTTGTCAATAAACACTCAAAATTACAGACGTGATTGAACCATTTCTCTAATTCGTTATTTAGTTTTTTTATATTTGATTTTCGAATACTTAATTTTATCTACAATATTAAAAAGTATGATAATAAAAAAATAAAAACTAGAAACTTAATTATCATATAGTCCTATTCCCCGCGGTATCGTGCCAAGAACGCTGGCTGCGTTTCCCCGCTGAATGGCTATTTGATTTCATTTTATTTTAGAGCACTGGATTTGGACGTTAATAACGTAAACGACGCATCTGAACCAACACTATGTGAAGAATACCAACGCATTATGAAGTCATCGGTTGACGATACTAAAAGTAAACTACACTTCGATGATTTAGTTGGTAAGATGTATTTAGCATTGCACCTAACATCTCAGAACCAAACCGCTATTAATTACTATGGTGGCGTTGTAAGAGGCGACAATGGAAAATGAGATAAAAATCTCGTGGCGTTCGAAAATCGGCAACGGGCAGTGTGATACGTCTGGTACTGCAACCCGATATTAGTAACAACTTAATTTCATACTTTTCTCAAAGCAAATAGATGTCGAGATTGGGTGGTGCGATCAAAGCCTCTTCAACAAGCTGAAGAAGTGGACGTCAGCTAGTGCTGATTGACGACCAAACCTCGGTATTAACTTGAACCTCTAACTAACAAATCTTCTACCTTGTAACTCCCCTATTTAAATTAATAATAACTTATAATTGCACTTTGAACATTTACATTTTACATTGAAAATACTGTAAAAACTTATACAACAATCCAATAATAGTTTGACGGCATCTATAATCTATATTGGGTATAGCTTATACGCTAAGCATTGGTCCTTGATCTTCGAAAATGATTTCTACTTCCTTTGTAGCTTTTACTATTGTAATGTATACAGTAGCGTAGCTATGTAACCAAAGGTCCCGGGGCAAAAATGAAATTGGGGTCCTATTTAAACTAAACTAAATACTTTAAAGGTGCAAAACTACTTCATGATCAGCTCCTTTTCGCCCACTGCAGAGCATAATAAAGCAAAGCTACTTACTGCTAAGTATTATGTGCATAAACAATGACGAAGTAGATTACAGTTAATAATATGGGCACACAACATAACAGTGGAAGACCCACACGGCAGATTTTGCTGTCGCATAGGTGACGACTAGATGGAGTGACGACCTGTTAAGACATGTAATGAGAAGCTGCAATGAATGAATGTAAGGAATGGGTGGACCGGCTTGAACCGAGGAGACCCACGACCATACAGATAAACAGCGTGAAGTAGAAGTTTACTTCGCCTGTATAGGTGCAGGTGGTCGAATGCCTAAGCCCTCTCCCCCTAAACATGGTAGTGTAATTAAATAGGAAACCATCCCAGGAGGGCACCAACACCCCTGGTATTGGAGAATCCCTGGCTGAGCATCCACGCCCAAACTACCCTACTCTTCCTTAGACCGGGTGCTCAGGCTCCCTTGCGTATCCTGGGGTGGGTGGGGGGACGAAATTCCGCTCAAGACTAATACTGCTCGTGTCAAGTAGAGCAATAAGACAAAGGTGGCCCCTGCCACGCTATCCGTGAATATCTGCAACATCAGGGGATTTCATTCGAACGTTAACGAAGTCCACTAGATAGCATCAGTAGACGGCGAAGCCGACCTTGCTCTTTCTAACCGAGGCGCAGGTGTCCTCTCCGGTCGATACTTCTCTCCTATCCAGTGTACAAATTGTAACACCTTTGTGCCTCGGGCTGGAGTTTGCGTATACGTCAGGGAGGACATCTCTTTTCGACGCCTCGCCAGTCTTGAAGTTCAGCGACGACCATCCTCGCGTCTACGGGTGGCTCTATAGGTAATGCCGACACAGACCAACTCATCGACTACGTCCAAATCGCTGCAGACTCCGTGCTATAACAGGTCCCGTCTGCAGAGATCGTGATCCTTGGTAATTTTAACGGCCACCACGCTAAATGGCTTGGTTCTGGTTTAACCAAGCATGCGAGAAGATTTGTTTATGACTTTGCCTTGGCATATGGTCCGACACAAATAGTTATCTCACCTACGCGAATTCTAGATGTGGAGGATCGTACACCTTCCCTGTTGGACCTTCTGCTGACCTCTCATCCGGACGGATATCAGGTCTCCGTCGACGCCCCTCTTGGCTCATTGGATAATTGTTTGATCCGGACTATGGTTCCACTCACACTCCCATCTCGGTTGCGTTCTGCAGATCGCTGCCATGTTTGGCACTATAGGTCGGCCGATTGGGACAGGATGCGGTTTTTATTGCATCCTTCCCTTGAGGACAGGGGCAGGTATGCTGCTCGCCGGACGATCTTAACGTTTTTTTGTCGCTGATGTGGTACTTCAGGGTATGACTCTTTATTCTATCATCTATGGTGCCTGGTTTGATCTTTTTTGTAAAATTGAATCGTGCTATAATAGGAGTGCTTCACCAGCGGTGAAAGAAGTATAATTTTGCTTTCAGGTCGGTACGGTACGGTTTACACAGCGCTCGGTGCACATAGCACTACTCTCCCTAGACGTCAAGTAGAGTGGGCCTGATGGAGCTCCTCCCATAGTGCTGAAGACGTGTGCTCCCTAGTTGGCACCAGTCGTGACGTGTCTTTTCTAAAACTCTTTCTCTCTAGGAGTAGTCCTGAACTCAAAGAAGACAACTTTAGTGCACCAGATCCCTAAAAAATAACCTAAAATCGACCACTCAGACCTATCCAATTTGTTCTCCTAGATAATGAAAATCATTGAATAAAACTAATTTTTACGGATTTTATCGCGTTTAATTAGCTTATTTTATATTCCATACATTTTGGTTGCTGGAAAGCAACAGGCACTGGTTGTTCAGTCTAGTTTTTAAGTTTTGAGGTATACCTGACGAGAAGATATGCCGTAATTTCCAGAACGCTGCCCAGCCGAAATAAATCCGTCGATTGACCTCTCGGTCGAAGTTGGACTTACCTAGTCGGACTATTTGTCCCAGGTAAACATACTTGTCAACAACTTCGAGCTTAGTTTCCCCAACAACTACGGGCATAAGTGTGACATGGACGTTACACATGTCTTTTGTTTTGTCCATGTTCATCTTAAGAACCATCCGTTGGGAGATACTATTGAGATCATTGAGTATAGTGCCTAGGCCTTCAGAGAGCTGTGGAGAGGGCTATGCTCGGGGTTTCTCTACGTGATTAACTTAGAAATGAGGATATCCGCAGTAGAACCAGAGCTACCGATATAGCCCAAAGGATTAATAAGCTGAAGTGGCAATAGACCGGCCATATAGCTCGAAGAACTGACAACCGATGAGGAAAAAACGTTCTCGAGTGGCAGCCTCGTACCAGTGGATAAAGTGTAGGGCGTCCCCCCACTAGATGAAGTGACGACCTGGTAAGACATGCAGGAAGTCGATGGATGCTGGTGGCTCAGGACCGTGCTTTGGCATTCCTTGGGGGAGGCCTATGTTGATTAGCTGTAATTGCTGGAAAGCACCCGAAACGTCGGGAATATAAAATAAGTTAATTAAACGCGATAAAATCCGTAAAATTTAGTTTTATTCAATGTGTAGTGTTCGCGTAAATATAAGAAATCATTATGAAAATCATTATGAACTGCCAGCTCATGAGGTTGAGGATCACCATCTGAAAAGTGACTGCCAGTACGATTCCCGTCGGGGTTGCTCAGCTGTTGATCTTCTGGGTTACCTGACTCATAAATCGGCATAAGCAGAGAGGGAGACCCTGGTCTTTAGTTTGGACATAGCTAAGGCCTTCGATCGGGTTTGGCACAAAGCGCTTCTTTCGAATTGCTTTCGAATTCTTTCGAATTTCCTATGGCATTGCCGAGAATTTCTGCAACCGGATCAGCAGTTTTCTTGCAGATTGAAGCAACAAAGTCGTAGTAGAATAAGCATGCTCCATTTACAAGCCTATTTATGCTGGTGTTCCTACGCTGTTTCTTCTGGTTATCAATAATATGTTGCAAACTAGTAACGTGCACTGGTGATACACCGGCTGTGCCTATATTTCTCGGGAAAACAGAACAAACTGGTGTCTGAAGTCGAGTTTTTGCCGTATGAGGTCTCGGATTGGGGCAAATAAATCTAATTAAGTTTAATGCCCAGAAGACACAAGTTTGCACGTTTACCACTAAAAAGAACCCCTTTCTCTTAACTCTTCAATTTCAGGGCACTCCCCTTGTTACCGCAGCCAGTATCGAAATCTTCGGCGTTGACATACGGAATAACGTGCAGTTTCGTGGTACCACTTGGAAATTGGAAGGGAAGGCTGAATTGGCCTCTAAAAAGCTTGGCGTGCTTAGCAGAGCGGGACAGTATTTTATGGCGGCACACTATTTGCAACTTTACAAGGGGCAGGTTCGGCCTAACATGGAATACTGTTCTAATCCCTGGGCCGGGGCTCCCTAGTACCATCTTCTTCCACTTGACCGCATCCAGCGCAGAGCGGCTCGAATCGTCGACAATCGACGAAGATGAAAGACGAGACGGAGAGATGTTGCATCCCTTTGCATTTTCTATCGAATTTACCACGGGTTGTATTCAGAGCAATTGTTCGGATTAATTCCAGTCACAAAATTTTATCAACGGATTTCACAAATCCACATCATCGGGATGTTTGGCGGTCCACTACTGTTGGACCGATACGGCTTAGACAGCTTCAAGAAACGAGCTTATGCCTTTTTAAAAAGCCGGCAACGCACCTGCAACTCCCCTTGTGTGGTATTTGTTAATAGGCGGTGGTCGACACTCGCCATCAGGTGAGCCGCATACTCGTTTGTCCCTTTCTTCTATATAAAAAAGTAAATAAGACGAAGTAGACAATTATCTTCCGCCGAAATTTGGGCGGTGCTGCAGTCCCTTCAGCGGTGCCAAGTTGACTGTCGGTACATCGAAGTGCTGAAGTGTTTGTACAGTAGAGCTACGATGGCTATTCGAGTACAGAATCAGAGTACGAAACCTATCCAACTGCAGAGAGGTGCAAGACAGGGTGACGTTATATCCCCGAAACTCTTCACCGCTGCATTGAAAGACGTTTTCAAGCTGCAGGACTAGAAAGGATGCGGTATTAACATCAATGGCGAGTACATCACTCACCTTCGATTTGCCGACGATATAGTCCTTATGGCAGAATCGCTGGAGGACCTAAGCACTATGCTCAATGACCTCAATAGTGTCTTCCAACGGATAGGTCTTAAGATGAACATGGACAAAACAAAGATCATGTTTAACGTCCATGTCACACCTATGCCAGTAGTTGTTGGGAGCACTAAGCTCGAAGTTGTTGACGAGTATGTTTACCTGGGACAAATAGTCCGACTAGGTAAGTCCAACTCGGCTGAGCAGCGTTCGGGAAACTACGACACATCTTCTCCTTGGACATACCTCAAAACCTGAAAACGAAATTGTACAACCAGTGCGTGTTGCCAGTGATGACTTACGGATCTGAGACGTGGTCCTTCACTGCCGGCCTTATGAGGAAGCTCAAGGTCGCTCAGCGAGCTATGGAGAGGGTTATGCTCGGGGTTTCTCTGCGTGATCAACTTAGAAATGAGTATATCCGTAGTAGAACCAAAGTAACCGACATAGCCCAACGGATTAGTAAGCTGAAGTGGCAGTGGGCCGGCCATATAGCTCGAAGAACCGACAACCGATGGGGAAGAAAGGTTCTCGAGTGGCAGCCTCGTACAGGTAGGCGAAGTGTAGGGCGACCCCCCACTAGATGGAGTGACGACCTGGTAAGACATGCAGGAAGTCGATGGATGCAGGGGGCTCACAACCGTGCTTTGTGGCATTCCTTGGGGGAGGCCTATGTTCAGCAGTAGACTTGTGAAATGCTGTAATGATGATGATGATGAGACAATTATCTTTAACAATGTTCTATTTATGTTCTGGAAGTGGTAGTAGTTTTCTGCCGACTTCCAAAAAGGAGATGGTACTCAATTCGACTGTATGTTTCTTTTTTTTATGTGTGTTACCTCATAACTTTTTACTGGGTGAACCGATTTCGATGATTCTTTTATTTTTTTGAAAGCTGGTACTTTTCGTGTGGTCCCATATGAATTTGATCAAGGTCAGACTAATAGTTTTTGAGTTATTCTTAATAACTTATATTGAAGTCGGCTGTACAAAATTTTAAATTTTAAATTATTGTGATTTCAATTCGAGCCGTTCGCGGCATGGGCCAAAAAGTCAAAACTCGAAAATTCTTTATACAACTAGGATAGTACATAATTTTTTGAATTTAGTTCTCGGAGGCCGAGGGGTCCCTTTAGCTTGGGTGCCCCGGGGCACTGTCCCGCCTAGCCCCTGGGTAGCTACGCCACTGAATGTATAATAATTACGTATGAAAGCAGCAGTTTTGATTATTGTAAAATTGTTAACTTAGTATTTTTGCTTTGCAGTGATCGTGGAACAATGGTATATGGACTTTTGTAGATTATCTTTATACGGCAGAGATTATAATAGTCAAAGGCTACGCCTAAAGGCTGCATTACAAAATTGCGAAGTAGAGGAAGTCGAAAACATACTTACAAATAATAACAATTCTCAAATCGATTTTGAGTATTGAAGTACCACAAGGAAAATTTATTAATATACGTGTTATTTTAATTTGTTTAAGTGTATTAAAAAAACTTGTGTTCAGAACTTCGTTTGTGTTATATTTTGGAATTAAGGATTATATCTAGTGTTGCCCAAAATGAGTCTTGGTCATGCAGTCTTGGTCTTGTTCTTGAATTTTTGCAAGACCAAGACCAAGACCAAGACTGACCCTGCAAGATTTGAGCAAGAAAAAGTGTGTTCTTGCTCAAATCTTGTGAGACTCTTGCGTCTTGCTGTTAGGACTAAGTGTCGTTACAGGGAGTATAGGGAGTTCGGGTATACTCTTAGACAATTAAAAAATTTTGGAAAATTGGACTTATGAGCATTACGAACAATACCATAAACGTACCTAACGAATGAAAATATCCATTAAAAAAAAACAGTGCATCCCTAGTTTTGATCATCGGCACTTTGAAAGTGCGCGGCGTCTTGTTGTCGGCATCATCAAAGGTCGGATACTGACCTCCCTCCACCATCCTATGGTCCTTCCCGCCTTGCGGCATACAGACCGAATCACGGTAGACGCACACGGTACTTGCTCTGGGCTCTTTCCCACGTGCGCTTACTTGACTCCCTACAAATCTATCTGTTCCGTCCCTTTTCTCTACATTTCTCTTCTCCCCCTTCTGGGGCGTGACTCCACAGCGAAGACACTTCGCGTTCGCAGCTATCTGGTCGTATTTTCAGTCCTCATACTGTTTCCTTTTGTGATGCCATGCATGCGCAAATCTCCTAAACTCCTTAAAGTTGGATTCCGAGCACATTAGGTCCCGGAAATATACTGGTCCTATTTCTGTTCTTTGTAAGCTGTCCAATAATGCGTTCCTCTCTTCAATATACAGATCGCAACCCCAGAGAGCATGGTCACGACTCTCCAGTGCTGAGCCACATGGGCATAAGCCAGAGTTCCTAAGGTTGAATTTTAGGAGACGCTCATTGAAACAGCCGTGACCAACAAGAATCTGCGATACTGCATAATCGGGCTCGACCCACCTGAAGATTAGACGCTCTGCGATATCCGGGAAAAACTTGTACAGATCCCTGCCATCTTGGCTTGAATCCCACCGGTCCTGCCAAATGGCAACGACAGCCGCCATCATCTCCCTCTTTTTCTTCCTGCGCTCCTTGTCGACCAATCCCGTCCCCTCCTCGTCGACTCGTCCCGCACGAAAAACTTCCAGGTCGGCAGGCAATACGCACGCCAACACCGGTAGCGCTGCGTTGCTAGCCGTCCTGTAAGCCTTCGTGAGAAGAATCAAAGCTGGTCTTTGCGTCCTCATCAGTACGCTTCTGATAACATAAAGGGACGAGCGTTGGTACCATACGGCAGCAGCATATATCAACGTCGGATACTGACCTGTCAAAGAAATTTTACAGCTATTCGAAAGTACAAGGTACACGCGCCGGCGGCTTCTATTGATATCGCATACAATCGCCGCCGTGGCGCACTTACAACATTTCACACTATTTGATGACATAGCGTACATGTTCAAAAGAATAAAATACATTTCCAGGTGCTCAGAATGAACACGAATACATTATGTTGATTTCGCAAGGAATATTGTAATTAGATAGTGGTAAGGATAGGTAGATATCATAATAATTTATTCTTGTAAGTAATTATTATAATATTCACTGTATGGGTTTATAATAATTACTTACTATTATTATTATTCTTATTACCTAATAGATAAACATGTTCAATAAGTTCACTGCAAATCGCGATTTTTGGAAATGTGTGTTTTTAAAACAAATATGTCGTCACCCATTTGATAAATATTGTAGACACTTTTAACACACTTAAAGCGTGTAAAAATTTTCTACAATGCTAATCGAATAATATAAAAGTGTGCATATAAAATAAAAAGCGTGCAATAAGATCTGTGTACTGCTTAGGAGCCGAGTACATCTGAGAGAACTGTTTAAAGAAATATCTTGTATCTTATATCTTATATCTTGACTGTTGCATCACAATATATTTTTGCATATATCATGTATGTTTTTTTAATAGAATAAGGGTGACAAACGAGCACACAGTCCACCTGATGGTAAGTGGTTGCTGTGGCTCATAGACATCTACGTCTATCTTCGTTTGTGAATTAAAATGCAGATGCGTTGTCAGCCGTGGGTGAGGACTAAGATGGAATGCCTTTTTTCCAATAAAAAGGGTCTCCGTTTCTCTACACTCACCATACGAAACACAGCAGCGTTAAGCTGCTATTTTACGCTGGTATACTGTGAGACATGTGTATGACAATATCTTCACTTACATGTAAAGAATAGTGGTTTGCACAATTTTAATAGTAGAAATAAAATTAAAATCACATTACTTACTTTCCGGTTACACAAAGTATACAATTGATTCTTGGGAAGCGGTATACGCTTTTTATAACAAGATTCGAAAAGAAATGTTAGATCTTTCACCTTTTCAATTTAAGTCGCACATTAAAGCTTGTTTAGCCAAAAAAGCATATTATTCTGTAAATGATTATATTAATGATAAAAATGCTTGGAACTGAACTCTCGTACTACGCAGGACTAACTAGAAATTTGTATAACGATTTGGTATCTACATATACAATTGACATTTTATGTTTGACCTATCGCTTTATATAATTATAGTACTATTGTAAAAATATTTTGAAAAGACCAACTACTCAGTTTCTTACTTTCTACCATGATTATTCTCAGTAGAATCAGCACCTCTGAACATTAAAAAGAAAAAAAATTGGGGAGAACAGTGATTATATTACTATTTAAAAGTGTATTTATAATGCCTACGTGAATAAAAATATTTAAATTTTGATTTTCGAATGAGTGAAGTCATATTTGCGCATTTTGTGTTTTAAAATCACACACTTCGAAAAATTGATTAGCAGTGTCGGTTTATTAACTTCTATCGTACTCTTAGTAGTTAGTAAGTACTTAGAATACAACAAGTACCTAGGCTAATTTAATTTAATTAACGTAGTATAAAGTAACAGTAATGTCAAAGCTATTGTAGGTGCTATTGTATTATGTAATTTAATTTGTATTGTATTTTATTTTTTATTAAATAGTATAACTCTGTTATTCCATTTCATATAAGATGAAGGTCTATCAAGCTCTTTCTAGACAGATTTTAAAATACAGTCAAGTTAATGTCATTAATTTGTTTTTATATGTTTTAACCATGTTTTAGCACATGTAAGCTCTTATTAAATGTAAACGTTTATTAAGAAACAAACTGACACCCGTCGCCGTGGGACGTGGTGAGGTCGTGGGTTCAAACCGCACCCGGTGTCAGTTGATTTTTCGTATTTCACATTAAATATTTAGACATTTAGTAATTTGGTTGGTCTTTACTATGGCTATGTTAATTCAAGCTCAAAATGTACCTACTCTGTTAAGTTGTTCTAAGATCTAAAGTAACGTTTAATAAATATCAATAGGTTAGTAGGTAATTGAGAGACTTGCGAGACTCTTACTGCAAGACCAAGATCAAGACCAAGACTGGGAGCGCAATACCAAGACCAAGACCAGGTGTATTGGCGCAAGATCAAGACCAAGACTGTGTAAATCGGTGTAAATCTGTTCGTCTCGCTGTCGACGTTGTCAATTCGGTGGTGTCTGCCCGCTCCGGTGAAGATCCGTAATATCAAGCAATAAAAAATCTATCTCTATAAGAACCAATCACATGGACAGTCATTACTAGACTCCAGGAATTATTAAATATTGACTTAGATAGTGACAAACTGTACAATGAGGTTGGACTTTTGTGTGAAATTCAACCACAACTCAATGAAGAAAATCGAGTGGATTTATGCTGGGTGGACTTAATTACAGAAAACACTGTCCTAAATTGAAAAAAATGGCTACTCAATTTCATAAAATTCTCCCGGATTGTTCCTATCGAGAGTTGGTAACCCTAGCTGTAGCTAGAGTCGAATTTTAGGTAGGGCAGCATTGGTTACAGTTAGGGCGAAAGTAAAAAAAATATCATAATTGAACTGCCCTCGAAACACGGGCTCCTAAATCAATCATCATGTATATCACTGACCTCTAGGTCAGTGATGTTCATTCAATAGCTATTCGTAGACAAATAATTTCAGAATTTCAGAACATGAGCATGGCTCTAAGAACTACTAAATCCTCAATGATGAAGAACAAGCGAACAAGATGGTTGAACTATGATGATGGATGTAGAGATCCAGGTCTGAGTGAGAGAGAGGTAATAATTCATTGTTGGGTGGGGTGATACGAGTAAATAGATACGACCAAAAATACCATTTAGATCATATTGTTTCTGCAAACTTATTAGTGTGTAAACCCGTGTAGTGGCGGGTAAGAATACCCACTACCCCGTATCTTCTCGTGGGTGTCGTAAAAGGCGACAGAGGGAAACTGAGGTAGAAGATGGACAGTAACATCTTTCTGATAACAACAAAAAGTAATAAAAAAAAACTGCGGTTGCCAACCCACTCGTGAAGCGTGGCAACTATGGTAATATACCCCCCATGACCAATGACACTAATAAACGGCCCCCAGTCCCCGGCGGCCCCGCTATTCCTGGCTACGGTGGCGACCATGGTAGCGGCGGGGCAGGGGGTGCAATGTCCGGTGGAGGTTCGGTTGCCACCTACGACAACTCGACCTGGCAACTTATAACCTACTTCAGGTTGGATAGTGGAAATATTTAATTTTACTTCACTGAATTATTTTAGTTCGAAAGAAATAGGGATCCGCAAAAAGTACCGATACTTTTAACGGTGGAGAACCACGCGGCAGTTTTTGCTGTTGCACATATGGGCCGGCTCGAGCCGGGTTGGTACCACGACCTCACAGAATATCGGATCTCTCCTGCCTGGGTTACAAATTGGAACACCCCTTTGTGCCTCGGGCTGGAGTTTGCGTGTATGTCAGAGAGGACATCTGTTCTCGACGACTCGGCAGTCTTGAAGGTTCGGACCTGTCCATCCTTTGGCTACG